CTGTCATTGCTGATCTTTTATTGAAGCATATACTGTCTAAAATATTACAGGAGATGTTTAAAAGTGACTTCCTGTGTTTCGCAGGTCCTTTGGGGTGACGTTGCCATAGAGAGCATGCCCTGAGAATTTCTATAAACAACTTTCTCAAACATGTGTGATTTGAACAGCCTTTTAAATTGATGTGACTTGTTATTTTCATAGTAAGTGTCTTAAATAGTTCAAATAACAGAGTAGCTTGGTTTTCAGGTTCTCCTGTGAAAACTCCAGTCAAAGTCAAAGTGATTGAAAAGGATTTTTCTGTTCAAGCTCTCCATTCTCACGGTGCTCCAGTCAGCAAAACTTTATCGTCTTCAGATACAGGTAATAGAACCTTCTGAAGCTTCAAATCAGAAGACATCTCTCTAGACTGCACATGGGATTAATGTAACCCTGCTAAAATAGCAGCAAACCCGCTACTGGCTTTCAACAGGCACTGAGATGTTTATGTTAGCAAGTACTGTGGTTAGGGGTATAGCAGCCTTGTAATAAAAGCCTGTTTTTAACTGGTGATTAAAATAACTAATTTTGAAAAAGCAACAATGAGCTGTGGTTTGGAAAGGGGAGGTGACTGTGGAAAACAGACTGGCTTTCCTCTTGCTTTTGAATGAAAAACTCCTCCCCTGTAAAGGCACAAGTTACATTGCATAAAGTGAAAACTCTCCGAAATTTAACCTTAAGGCCATTATGAAATCTCCTGTCTGAAGAAAAGGCATGAGGCTGCCTTTAGGTAAGGCAGACTGAATTCTCTTCCTTGCCCTGCCACTGTTATTTTGCTGTTGTTTTGTTTTTATGCTGATGCAAATACATAATCTGGCTGAGCCTGTTCATCTACTTTCTTAAGTCACCTGCCATACAGTTGAAGAGCCTTCAGAGCCCCACGTAGCTTCAGTAACACCTTAAATTACAAATTCACTTTGACTGAATTAAACTCGGTTTTGACTGTGGCATTTTATCTTTCTGATGCACAGCTCTGAATCTTCAGCATGTTCTTCCGTCCTTGTGGCTTCACCATTTGTTCCTTAGACATATAGGCAGCAATGATGGAAGATGTGGTGTGGTATAGTTGCAAATAGCACATGATCTGGAGTTCTGTTTACTTCGTACTGGTTTGGGTGCATATGGGGCAATCTGGAGATGATCTGGAGTGCTCCTGGAACAGTCAGAAAGCTTGCTGAGAGACAGATGTGTTGGCCAAAAAGATGGGCAAAAGTGTGAACCAATAACCATGAATACCTTTAAATAACTCTTGACTCTTCCTCAACAGTAAACCAGTGATACCATGAAGCAGGGTGATATTACTGAGCCAATTTGGAAAGCCCTAAGCTTCTGAGTTTTCCATCATAACTGGTTCTGATATTGAAAATGCAAAGCGCTTACTGGAAAACTTGTCTGATCAAAGCTCAGAGCACACTGAGATGGACAATGTTTTCCCTTCTGTGGGAATGCAGGGGAATTCCTGTGCAATGTTAATACACTATTGCAGGAAGAATTACTCATTAGAACAAAACCTTGAGGCAAATGAAAGAAATGCAAAGAAGCATTGGTGGTAGTTATTGCAGACAGCATGCCAAACTAGCTGCAGGCTCTCTAGAAAAGATCCTGTGGCCTTTCCACGGTTCTAAATAATGGCAACAATAAGAGTTAGCAAGTGCCTCTGATGCAGTGTCAGGCACTTAGGAGTTTCTGGAGGCCTTCAAGTGGCTCTGAAGATGGAAAAGTGGGGTTTGTCATAAGTGCACATGCATGTGGGAGTGCATACCGCTTGTGCATATGTACTGCTGAGTTCCAAAAGTATCTGAGGTATTTGGTGCAGTATTATTCAGGCCTTATCTTTCAGTCCCTTAATGTCCCAACAACAAAAGACACTGCTTAGTTTAATTCATGCTATTCCTGATTGTATTCCTTTGTTGTTAAATCTCTTACTGAAGAGCCCAACTCCAACAATTAAATCTGTGAATATTTTTGTTTGTTTTATTAACCTTATTAGATTTGTTTTTCTAAGCTTAATGAATTTGATCAGTGTGTACTTGCTGTGCCACAATTTACCACAGTGTAGCAAGTGAAGTAACTGGCTGTGTGGTCTGGGTTTCTAAAGTCTTATGAGTGTGAAGGTCATGGGTTTGTAAGTGCAACTTCCGTCCCGTTTCTGTGTAGGATGGATAATGTACACCAGATTGAGCAGAATGGAAAGACAAGACACAGTAGCTTGGTGGTGAAACGTTTTGTTTTACATGATGTTAATATAATTCCTTGTAATTTCTTTACATTTAAAATTTAGAACAAGCTTTGCCTCTTTGTGCTTGTTCTGGTTTGTTTTTCTTCACTCTGAAATAATGCTTTCTTTTCAGAGCTGCTGATACTGAATGGCAGTGATCCTGTTGCAGAAGCAGCCATTCGACAGTTAAGTGAGTCTGCCAAGCAGAAGCTGAAGTCTCCCAGAAAGAAAAGCACCATTATCATATCAGGGGTGTCCAAGGTAGAGCAGAAAACAGCAGGTTTACTTCTTAGTGCTGTAAAGTCTTCGCTCCACTGAGCATGATGTGAATGTGCATTCTGTAGAGTCCTGCTTGTCAGTCTCTGCAGGATCTACGTCTGCCTGTTTCAATAACTATTTCAAGTTGAACCAAATCAGGGTGGGCTTACTGGGAAGTGGGTTGTTTTTTTATACTTAGATTTGAAAGCTTAACTAAAAATGCATGGTGACCTTGGCCAGGAGTGAGATGGTTAGGCGTTTGGGAAAACTAGCCTAAGTAAGGACAAAAATTAGTCCTTCTCAGTGTATGGGAACTGCTGAATGGCCTGAACCTCTGATTGATCACCTGAGGCGAGCACTGAGTCAGCCAGGGGAGCACAGGTGAAGGCAGTTCACCTTGATGGAAGGGGTGGAGCCTGGCTGCACCTCTCCTAGACCCATTTAAGAGCTGGCTACCGGTAGGGAAGGATCTCTTCTGGAGATCTGCTCTCCTGGAGTTTTGTAAGTGAGCCCAGGATAGGGGTAAGCTTTCTGTCTATTCTCTTTTTGTTATCATTATCTGCTTTGCCTAGCTCTCTTGTTTATTTCATAACTATAACATCCTAACATTCATTGATTATACACTCTGTTTCTGCTGATAGAGGCAATGTGCACACAAATAATATCACTGTTTTTTCTACATGTCAAAATTGTTTAAACAAAACCCTGTGGAAAAGCTTTCCCTCTGGGCTTCATTCTAGAGTAAGGGAAACAGAAGACTGCTCCTCACTTGGCATACAGCACTCTTCCAGGCATCCATTATCCATAGCCTCCATCTGACTCTTGGTCCCTGCCTGCAGTCCTTTCCTTGCAGGCTGCTCTGTGGATGTTTGCTGTGGTCTTGCTGTTCTGCATGGGTTTCCTAATGAGCTCTGAGAGAAAGTTGAGCCACTGAGCCTTGTCATCACTGTGCTGTGTAGTATTTAAGTATTAAATACTAGTGCTTAAGTATTTTTTTTTCCAGTCCCTTGGCTTTAACAGGACAATTAGATGGTGACGGTCAGTTCTTCTTAGAACTTGGCTATATGCTCCTCTCCTTTAGTAGAGCTTAAGGAGCCTCATGATGGTTTTCTGATAGCTCTGAGCAGAGCAAATAAAAGTGTAAGGAGGAAAAAAGAACATCTTTTGCAGGGAGGCTTGTTTTGGTTTTATTTCTGTTTTTTGGTGTGTGTTTGTTTGTTTTTCTATCAGAGTGGCTTGTGTCAGCATTGTCTCTCTATTTATTTATTTGTTTATTTTCCCTGTTGGGCAGACCTCTTTATCTCAGGACAGTGAAGCTGCACTGATGATGGACTATGCTGCAGCCATGGACAATTCCCGCAAAGAAGCAGATCCACCACCTGCTGGAGAAGAAGTGACTGCAAAAGTCACTTCTGATGAAAAGCTGTCATCAGACGCTTCAGAAACAGTACCTGATACTGACCCACAGCAAAGTGCCCATAAGGCTTGGGCTTTGGAGAATGGCAGCCAGCAGTGGGACTCCAACACACTCTTAGACCAGAGCTGTGAAGAAATGTCTGGGAGTTCATTAAGTGTTTCAGAAACTGGGAGTGTGAAAAAGTCTAAAGGTACGTGATCCTTACCTCTCCTCTGGGAAATAACTGGGGTCTACACGTCATTGGCAGTGTCATGCAACAGTGTATAGTAGTTTATCCTCTGGTACTGTTTTTCCTCCTTAAGCTCTTTGTAATTGTGGTGTTGGTGGAAGCTGTCTTGCTAAAAGCCAAAGAGTCCAGTTCTCTGGCTCTCAGAGATGTGGCAGGCTCTCTTACGCTCTTGTCCGTCAGCAAATGGAAGGACTCACCCTTAGAAGTTAAAAGGCAGATCATTGAGCCCAACACATAACTGGGAGAGTAAAGCGAATGAAGGATCAGATATTTTGCTTTATGTAGTTACACACCTTGATAGCCTCAGCTTGAAAATGCTGTAGGATTCTTTGTGTTTCCTTTATAAACCCAATAACCTCTGAGGCTGTTGTGCCTGGTTTGCGGCTGTGAGGTGGCTGTTATGAAGTCTGGAAGAGAATCCAGTGCAGTGGTCACCCACCTGTGCCTTGAACAGGTGGCACACCAGTTACCAGTTACACACCAGTTGAAGTTGGAAAAACTGTTGTATTTCTCACCCATCTCCATCCTTCTTTTATTTTATTCTTTTCTGTGCATTTCTTACCCAGAGACTTCTGTACTTACTCAGAGACAGTATAAAGTGGCAATAAAGCTTAGTACACGACTAGACTACTGTGAGGCTGCCCAGGGAGGTGGCTCTGCGGAGAGGGACCTGGGTGTCCTGGTGGACAACAGGTGCCATGAGCCAGCAGTGTGCCCTTGTGGCCAAGAGGGCCAATGGCATCCTGGGGTGCATTAAAAAGAGCGTGGCCAGCAGGTTGAGGGAGCTGATCCTCCCCCTCTATTCTGCCCTGGTGAGGCCTCATCTACAGTACTGTGTCCAGTTCTGGGCTCCCCAGTACAAAAAAGACAGGGATCTCTTGGAAAGAGTCCAGCGGAGGGCCACAAAGATGGTGAAGGGCCTGGAGCATCTCTCCTATGAAGAAAGGCTGAGTGAACTGGGTCTGTTCAGCCTTGAGAAAAGAAGACTGAGAGGGGACCTGATCCAGGTCTATAAGTATCCAAGGTGTGGGGGGCAGAATGGTGAGGATGGACTCTTTTCAGTGGTGAATGGAGACAGGACAAGGGGAAACGGCCGGAAACTGCAGCATAGGAAGTTCTGCACAAATGTGCACAAGAACTTCTTTACAGTGAGGTGACGGAGCACTGGAACAGGCTGCCCAGGGAGGTGGTGGAGTCTCCTTCTCTGGAGATGTTCAAGACCTGCCTGGATGCCTACCTGTGCAACCTGCTGTAGGGAACCTGCTTTGGCAGGGGGTTGGACTCGATGATCTCTGGAGGTCCCTTCCAACCCCTACAGTTCTGTGATCCCTGGAGCCGTGTGAACATGGCACTGGGGGCCATGGTTGGTGGGCATGCTGGGGGGTGGGCTGATGGTTGGACCAGGTGATCTTAGAGGTCTTTTCCAACCTTAGTGATTCTGTGATTCTAATGCATCTCACATATGCACTAGACCTCTTCACCAAGCCTTGATGTCTTCTGGTCTTTTCACAAGTCTGTTGTTCCATCTGATAGTTCAGGATGGCACAGCAACCATCAGTTTGGCCAAGATGGTCAGGCATTAGACTGTTTGGAATGGATTTAGGTGAACTTAAGCACTAAGTAATTTGACTTGTTTGGAGCCTGAAGAAATTTAGGGAGCTCTATGAGATTCTGGAAAACCTCTGGACTCTTTAATGTTTTACTCTAAATCAAGCAAGTGGAAGCTTGTAGGTGAACTGTTTACTTTTGCTTTTCCATGCGCAGTGTGTTGCAGAGAGGTCAGGCTTCTGAAAGTTTACTTTGTGCAATGTAGGGCAGGACTGCTAGAAAGAACAAATTGTCTCAGCTTTAAAAATGTTTTCTAAAACTGTCTAAAATCCCTTACAGATCTCTCTGTGGAAGTTTTGAACCTCTGCTCACAGCTGAGTGAGTTCAATGGAGTGAGATAAGAAAACTTTTCTACTTCCTTTCCCTTGGTTAGCTTTGAGTACTTTGACTTTTTTTTTTTTGTCAAAAATAATTCCCTTTCCCTTTGAAAAACAAGAACAGCAACAAAAACAGCAACAACAAAAAAAAGCAAACACTTTTCTGCTTTAAAAACCTTCCTGAATGGTATGAATGTCTTAAAGTTAGCATTGTCTTTCACTATGATTTCTACTCTAGAATACCTTTTGTTCTTCGCTTTTCTGACTTCCTGTTTCTTACCCGTTCCCTTTTATAAACTTAAGAGGACCACTGTGCCAGCCAGAATTAATTACCTACACAGTAAGTTGCTTTTGTCTTATCTTTTAAAGAAAGCGTAGCTTTACAATGATGCGCTCATTGTAAAAATCAGAGCAAAATGTAGTTTGGCACCTGTTTTCTTCCCCATCCATTTCTTTCCTCCTGCAAACTGCCTTCCTGTGCTCAGATGCCTTAGCAGCTTTGTCTGCCCAGACAAATCATTCCACTGGTGGATGTGCTGGCTAAGTGGGTCATGCAGAACAGGCTTCAAGGAAGGCTTGGAGGGGTGCTGTGTGCTCCTGCTCTCTCTCCATCATGCCCATTCCTGTTGAACATCTGCTCATGCAAACCCATGTGTGACCTCATAACTGGATATGCATACACGGAATACTTATTTTAAAAACTGCTGCTTACAGTTATATAGATTTCCTTTCTAGCTGAACTCCTAAAGCTACAAGCACTTCACAGACACCTCGATTAAAAACTGTTCTGGAGTCAGGAAGGAATGGAAAGAAGCAGTCTCTATTCACATCCTTGTAGATGTGGAAGGAAATCGTCCTTCAATAAAAAAAAAGAGATTCAGGAGTGACCCCAACCCGACCAGCCAGTTAGAACAGCCTGAGCTGGCCCTCAGGAGCCTGTGAAGACCAGCTAGTCTGTACAGCATTCTTGAGGTGCTCTCTGCTTATCTCCTGGTGTTGGGAGCCGAGTTTGGCACATGCATCACATTGAACTCAAGAAGTAAGCATGTAAACAGCACAAGCATCACTGAGTTTATTTGCTCTGTAGCCTGCCTTCTTACAGGGGTGCCTCCTCAGTGCTGGAGCCACTGTCAGGCGGCACACACCCAGCTGGCTGGAGACCAGTGGGTAGCAGTGGGTGATACAAACTTCCAGCTACTAGCAATCTCAGTACCTCTGAAAACACAAGGAGCTTTCACCTTGGGGGCTGCAGCCACTGATGAGGCTGTGCTGTTCTCAGGGAAGTGCAGCCTGCATTTTTTTTTTTTTTTCAGCTGCAACAAGTTGTCCTGGACCACCAGCACAAGTTCTAAGCATTCTTGGTTTGGTTCTGTTTGTTAGGATGGAAAATCAGTGAATGGATAGGACAAAAAAGCTGTTTACAGATAAGCTCCTTTGTCCTGCTCCTCCTGCTGGCACAGCTTCAGCTGCAGCTGCCAACGCTGCTGGGCAGAGCAGCTGAGGGCTAAAACAAAAGCCACACAGCAGCAGTGCCTCAGCAACCTCCCCAGCCCCTGCATATTAACAACTGTCAGTATCAGGGGCAAAACACTGTTTCTTTTATGCTGTTGACAACGGCTTGAAGTGGTGCTGCTTTGCCAAAATGATCAATCAGAGGGTGATGGGAGAGCAGACAAGATTCAGGTCTGTGCGTTCCAGTTGCTTTCAGCTGACTCCTGCATCAATCCCATCGTGGCCCATGTCTTGGCCACAGCAAGACAAAATGCGCTGGAGTGTCTTTGCAGATGCTGAGTGCTCAGTCCTTAAAATAAAAAAGTAATAATGCTGAGCACGTGTCTGTAACTGTTCCAGTCTGAACAGAGCAGCTTCTGGCTGCATGAAACAAGGCTGCTGTGAACTGCCTATTCTGCAGCTGTTGCTGTGCAAAATGACACGCAGCCTGGGCCCAGTCCTTAGATGACAGTGATGTGATCCTTGCTGTTGCACAGTCACATGCAAGAATGGGTCTGCGTGTTGCATTTTGTATCTGTTTACAACGGGAGGAGAAGCAGAGCTGAGACTGTGCAGTGACAGGATCTGATAGTTAAACAGAGGAAAAGTAAGGAAAGCTGATGGTTGTGTGGAAACAAGTTGTGGAAGCTTAGCCAGGAAGATGACTGTCCTCATGTACCTGTCTGAGTGCCAGAAGGCTCCCTCTGCTGGCTTGCTGCCTGGGTCCTCCTTCGTTCAAACTGGCTTGTGTCACTGCGACAGCAGCACTGCCCAGTTGTGCACTGAACTCTTGCTATTTTGACGTTGGGCTGTTGTACCAAGAGCAGGCAGCCTTCCTTGTGCCTCAGGCACACGGCGCATGGGAAAATGGAAGGTGGGAGCTGGCAGAATGCTGGCTGCAAAACCATGTAGGGCTTGTAAAGAAGGAAGACCACTGATGTCTTGTGTTGCCAACATGAGTCCATAGTGTGGAGATATGCAGCCAAGGCAATGGCAGCTAGATATGGAATCAAGAGGAAGGGTATATAAAAGAATCTGGACTAATTTGCCACAGAAGGGATTTGGGCAAATTTCTGAGCTTATTGGAAGCAGACATAATACTACTTTTAATATGCTTGAGGTGAATTGTTATTTCCAACAGTGTTTTAAACCAGCAAATGATTGCTGCTCTAGGTTATGCTGCCGAATTCATGTGGAAGACGGGCAGTCTGACTGTTTGAGCCTGCTGCATGTGGGCTGACATACAGCTACTGACTTCAGGCATCAGCAGGATCCTCCATGTCAAAATGCCTCCTTCACTTTGTGTGTAATGGGCTAATCTTTTCAGCTCCATTGATTGCTGAAACTACAGAGTAACGTTTCTTCCTCTATCTTTTAATAAAATACTTTGTACTTTTATTGCACTGGAAGGATGGAATGTGCCTGTTTGACATTTGGGAATCCAGCATACAAGCCACCCTAAGAGCTGTGCATGTGTACGTGTGAACACTGCTGTAGCTTTCAGAGGAGCATTAGAAACAAAGTAGAAGGAAGGTGACTTCCACAAGATGTGTGAATTCAAAGTTGAAATTGGAGGATTAATGTTTAATTCCTCATAGCTGCATAGCAGCTTTCCTTCCTTTTCACCTGCATCATTTCAGAGAGAATAGAAGGAAAGAACTTCTTTAGTGCTCCCCTAGCAAAATACACGTGAGCTCTTCTCAACTCTTCTGCTGACTGTAAGAGCATGGACATATGCATAGATCTAGTACTGCCGCCGTCTGTCATGAATCCAAGTGATTCAGTTTGCATGATACCTGCATGGAACGAGGAGAAGCAGAAAAATGCATAACTTCATGAAGCCTGAATTTCTCAGTGGTGTTTGCTTGAGAAAGAGCTGGTCAGTGGTGGGGGAAGGTGGATTCAGCAGCATGTAGTGTGTGTGTAAGTGCGTGAAAGCATAGTGACCGCTCACCTTTGCCAGTATCCGAAATCCCTTCGTTCCAGCACGGGACTCGTACCCTTGCATCCTCTCAGTTACAGATCATCAATACTGTGGCTCTGAATTCACCACTCTCTTAGCTTCCTAACGTAGTTTAATTTGTTATGAGAGTGGTGCTTAAGCTCAAAATGCTGAGACAAAGGCTTTCTTCAGTAGTGATGCAGTCATAGCTGAAGCTGCAGGCTAGAAGAAAGCAGTCTGGTTTGTCTAAAGCGCCTTTGCCTCTGCTCTTTGCTTTCACAGGTGGGATCTTGAGAAAGAGTGCAAAGCTCTTTTTCCGTCGACGCCACCATCAGAAGGATCCAGGAATGAGTCAGTCGCACAACGATCTCATCTACCTGCAGCAGCCCCTGTCAGAGGAAACGCGCAAGAAGGGAGGCACTCTTTCGCGAATTCTTAGCAGAAAGTTGCTTTCCAAGAACAAAAGCAAGAGCAAACTGAATGGTGCTTCAGCAGAACCCTTTGCGTAAGGCTGAGCGAACGCTCTCTGATGGGATACTTGCACATCAGTTGTTTACAGAGCAGTACCAGAGAACGCAAATACAGCCGATGACTTGCATCACGCGATGCTCGCTGATACAGTGGTGCGGGAGGGAACAGAAGGATTGTACTTGCTGTTTATTTTTCCAGAACAACTTTCTCTCTGGTTACTGTGAAGGTGCTCCTCTGAACACAAGCAGCTCTACTTGCATCGTGACAGCTTTTGGAGGACTGTGTGGTGGTGTTGTGCAAGGTGAGGGAGAGCAGGGAATGGCCCAGGTGGGGAGAAGTGAGCACCTAGTTGGCTGAAGGAGGAGCTGAGAACTGAAGAACCATACCTGCTCTATGATTGAACCGCTGTCAGGAGAGGAGATACCACTGTGCTTCCGTGCTGAGGCATGGAGCAGCAGCAATGCAAGTCTCAGCTTGTGTTTCTGGTCAGGCTGAAAGGGAAAACAGACCCAGACCCACTTTGTATTGTGATTTGAAAACGGGTAAGTTTTCAGAAACAGAGCTGAACCACTGATTAAGAGAGCCTGCTGTAATAACTGTAGCCTGCTATAAACTCTGCTCAGTCCATGTAGATGGAGAGAGGCCTTTTATATTAGCCATAAATCAATAAATTATGCAAATACTTACACTAGCATATTGTTTAATGTTCTGTACGTAAGTTATACTCTAAAAAACAGAACTTTTTAAAGAATTTACTTGAGTCTACTTGCAAACATTTATAACTTCTCCTCTGTAGCTTTTCTTCCCTGTGTGAGAAGCTGTTGCTGCTAATTCAAAAACCTGTTGTAGGGGCTCTACTTCCTTCTCCCAAGTACTTGTTAGACAAGCATATATATATGCCATCATATCAAATGCAAAGCTAGGAGCAATAAGTCTCGAATAGAGCATATTTAACCCTATATAAGCTTTTCATTAGACAGCTTGTTTTACTTGCCAAATATGTACTGAGATCTTAGAAAATGCAGTTGTGAAGAGAGCTTTTTAAAACATAATGATCGGAATTCCCTCAGTCTTTCAGTTTCTAGCTCCACCAGTGTTGTTGTTGTGCTGAGTGGTTGGTTGAGTTTCCTGATTTATTTTCCTCATGAAATGAGAAAGAAAAACTGGTGAAAGTAAAGGCGTAGTTCTTGTTTTAGCTGCTGAGAAGAGCAGAAGGCAGGATTTTACAGGTGCCACCTGGAAGTTTGCCTTCCTGTACATTCCTCCTGAGGACAAAGGACCAAGCCTGTTTCCTTTAGCCAAGGAAGACATCCATTCCATTAGAGCTACTGACATGAATGAATGATGGGTTTGTGTTGATTCGCACCCCCACACCTCACCCCTGGAAAGAGATACAAGGCTTTTGCAGATATTTTGGTCTTCAACTTCTCTTCAAAAATAGAAAGTCTCTGAGGATCAGAAGTATGTTTTGAAACTTCAGATGGGCTTCAGATTCCATGGTAAATTCTTCTACAAAGAAAATCTAGATGCTTGTTGGTTTTTTTTACCAACAGATTAGTAAATAAAAGAACTGTCAAAATCTCTTAACTGAGTCTACAGTTGAAATATACCACTTGTATGTAAAAAAATCACTGTAGTGCAGCAGTCCAGCCTATCAAACAGCTGTACCTCTTAGCATGCTGCCTATTATGAAAACGTTTGAAGGCATTTGTATGCTTTATGTTTTGGAAATGTGTTACAAATGACTGTCCTGGAGCTGTAATGTGCTTTAAAAATCCCACTGCAGTAATATGGGTTTGTCCTGCCTGAGTGTGCTTGAGAACTTGCGTTTGTTGTTGGTTTAACACAAATTAGAACTCTCCATTTGTACTACAGTGACCTGTGATCGAAGCATTCAAAACAAACTGAATCTCTGTTCCCTCAACATGTACTTTTTCCGTGCAAAGGACATCTTTGCATGATGGGGCTGGGTAGATTGAGAAAAGATCTTTCTTGTGTTCTACATGGTCAGTTTTGTTTACTGAAGGAAAAAATCTAACCACAAATTCAAGAAATCAGAGACTGAGCTCCATGGGTAGCATCATCTGTGTATGCTGAGAGCAGAGGGAGCACGTAACACTACTTCAGATCTGTTTGCATTGCTGAAGTGGGATTTAACTTACGGAAGTTTTATCATTTACTCTAGAATGTGGTGGAAATAACACTGAATAATGTGCTGACTGCAGAAGGGTTTGCTTGTGTATTATTTTTTTGAAGTACAGATAGACCCTGAAGTTTTGGGTTGGTTTCTTTTTTGGCTGATCCTTCTTAAGGTCTTGGTTATTGCCTAAACCCTTGTCTTGATGGTGGGAACTGCAATTTATATATATAATATTAATATATATATGCACATAAAAACATACTGCAAATTGTGTGAAGGTTTGGGCTTGCCTATATTAAGAGAATTAACCATTAAGATGAGGAAAGCAAGGCAACTTGTGTTAAGAGGGAATCTTGGTCTTTAATTGCCTTCATTCCTCAGGAAAATAAATAGTGTTTGGTTTGATGTGTGACCTCCACATGTGGCTGGTTGTTCCTCACCTCTTCCTACAAATACTTTGTATTGCGTTGTAAGAACAAGCTGAGCTACCAAACCCAAGGGACGGCTGCATTCCTCAGTGGTGGCAACCATAAGGGCCCATGAAATTCAGTGCTATTTTTCTTTCCTAGATGATTTTTGCCTTTTAAGATCAGATTTGAGCAGTGGGTGTGGGTTTTTTTTGCCTCTTAGTGGCTGTGTCAGTTGTGTGCTGACTACCAGAAGGAGCTGAGCTTCTGTTCCATGCAGGAAGGGCAGGATCTGTGAGCTGGCATTGATGGTGTTGCACCTTGCACTCCTGGGCACTGATCATGTCCCATGCAGTTGTGTGAAGGATGCCAGAGAGAATCATTTAGCTCTACTTTTTGCAGTCTTCACGACTTTACCAACCATGCATTTGAAGAGCAGAACAAATCTCAGCATGGTGTAACATAGGAAACTTCATGTTTTCTGCCTTCCAAGTGAATTACTTCAGAACAACAGTTTGGAAACAATTTGTGAAATCTTTCTTCCTTTTTGCCCCTTTTCTTATACTTTTGTGTTTCTGGATCTTTTGTACGGCAGTATAGACGCAGTATTTCATAAGAGCTATGCTGTGACAGCTTCCTTTCTTCCTTTCTAAAGCATCATGTAATGCTTTGGTGTTGTTTGTATGTGAAATTTCTTAGGAGAAAGCAATGACGACATAAAATGCTGTCAAATTTGTAAAGGGAAACAAAAATCCTGTTTTAACATCTCCCTTAGTTCTGGTAATTCTAGGTGTTACAAGGTGCAAGAGCTCTATACAAGGTGGGAGTCTGTTTATTCTGTTGCAGCATTTTAATTGTAGAGCCGAAGTTAGAGCTAACTGCTTGTCATGGTACAGAATGAAGCACAGCAGGCTCCAGGCTGAGGCATTCCTGCTGTGAGAGGGAACAACCAACCTCCTGCTCTGACCTCTGCAGGACATAAGCGGATTTATTCCTGTGTTTGAAGTTAGTGAGGTGCTGAAGCACATGCTGAGCACAGCCTCAGTGACAAACAACTCAAAGTTAACTCCATCACCAGGGTGATTACTCGAAGCTGAGGGTGAATAATGTCATTTCACTCAGGATATCCAAACTGCTACTATGCAAGGTGCTGGCATGGTGTGGAGGTAACTGGGAAGGATGGTTGTGAGGTGTTTCCAATCCTGTAGCTTTGTATTTCCCACTAATGCAGTACACTCTGATATTCCAGATGGGGTAACACTGCAGTTTTCTGGTACACAACTGTGACAGTCATTTCTTCTGCTGTGGTTTTTTTTTTGCTTTATTTTGCGCGTGTGTAAAAACGAAGTTGGTACAGTTACAAAGCCTATGATGTACAGATTTATTACATCACTAAAAAGTGTATGGATTTTTAAAAGAAATGCTATTGCTGTACATACAATAAACGCCTGTTGTCTCCGTGCTGTGTGCTGTCCTACATACTCAGCCAGCCACTCGAGGCAGCTTTCTGCTCTCCTTCACCAACGTGGCCCTGTTTCCCCGTGCTTACCTCACGTTTATTGTTTTGCTGAAATCCCCTACTTAGGCTTTCTTCATTTTATTTCCTGCTTTCATCTCGAGCGGTTTAATTTCTGCGCTGTGACCAGAATCACGCCATCGTTAAGGCTGGAAAAGATCCAGCGCAGCCACCAGCCCACCGTGCCCGTTCGCCACGCTGAGGCTCCCCTCGCTAACTCACTGCTAAACAGAAGGGTTCCCCGGAGCCCGCTTTCCGTTCTCTTCGACCTCCCAGGTTCCCCGCCCTGGGGCCGCCGGCGGCGCGGCGGGCAGGGCGCAGGGCCGGGCTAAGGAAGCGCAGATCTGCGCGGCAGCGACCGCCGGCAGGAGCGGGCCTCGCGCACGCCGAGCCGGGCACGGCTCCCGCCCCGACGGCCTCCCGTCAGGGTCAGCGTCCGCGCGCCGCCCCGTCCCGCTACCGACGGCCGCCCTCGCTCCCCGCGGCGGCGGCGGACTACGCCTCCCGGCACGCTCCGCGCACGGCGCGGCTTCCGCTGGCGCGTGGTTTCCGGAGCGGATCGGAACCCGGAGTCCGGATCCGATCCGGCTCGGGCCATTCCCAGGGCAGGTAACGCCGGCTCCTCGCGCCTCCCCCCGCGCCCGCGCCCCGTCCTCGCGGATCTCCCCCCGCGGCGCTCCGCTCCCCGTCCCCCCCCCCTCGTCCCCCCTTGTGCCGCCGTCCCTCCGCTCCCCGCGGCTCTCGGGGCCGGGCCGGGGGCGGCGGCGGCGAGGGCTCCCGGTGCGGGAGGGCGGCCCCGCCGCCTCCTCCTCCTCCGCCGCCGCCTTCTCCATGCCGCCTGTTCTTTGTTACAGGGCCGCGCCGCGCCGCGCGGAGGGAGGGCGGTAGGGAGGGGGGCGAGGCGGGTCCGAGGCAAAACCCGGCGGAGCCGCTCCCGGATCCCGGGCCCCGCCGCCCGTCGGGCTCCGGGCGGTCGCTTCCCGCGCCGCTCGCCGCGCCACGCCGTCGGCGCCGCGCTTAAACTCGGCCCGGCCGCCTCTCCCCTCGCCCCGCGAGGCTCCGGGAGCCCCGGTGCCCCTCGATACCGCCGGCGGCAGCGCTCGCTGCGCCGCCGGGCTCCGGCCTCGGCGGGGCGGGGTGGCGAGCGGCAGGGGCGGCGCCGCGCGCTTCGTAACGGCCGCTCCGTAACGGCCTCCCCGCGGCGCGGGGGGCGGAAGGGCTGCCCCGCACCGAGCGGGCACGCGGTGCTTCGGTGTGCCGAGGGTCGCGGTACGCCGCGAGGGAAAGCCGGGGAGCTTCGGCCTGCGCGGAGCAGGCAGCGCCGCCCCCCTGCGCGCTGCGGCCCCCTCAGGCACCGCTGCGCTGGGTTGTGCGGGCAGAAAATCCTGTTTTCGCGCTGTTGTTGGCTTAGGCGCGCAGTCGGTTTATGTAAAGATTCCGGAGTTTCCCCAGGAGCTGGGATTGTCGCTGCGAAACGGGAATGTAAAATGTGTGCAGTGGCTTAGTGGAGTATTTTTCTGACACAAATACATGGAAAAAAAATAATGAGATGTGGCCCTGAACAGCAGCAGATGAAAATAAAAGCCCCAAAGTCTGTCCTCGGTGTTTGATCTGCCCTTTCTTATGCTCTTCGTGAAGTAGGAAGGGAGGAGAGACGGACAGCCTCTCAGGAATTGGTGGCGAGGCGCAGAGCGAGACACAAGGCAATCACAGGATCCTAGAATGGCCTGGGTTTGAAAAGGACCGCAATGATCATCGAGTTTCAACCCCCCTGCTGTGTGCAGGGTTTCTAACCACTAGATCAGGCGGCCCAGAGCCACGTCCAGCCTGGCTTTGAATGCCCCGTGTGATGAGGGATGGATACGTCTGATACGCATTTTCCTTTCTTGCCTTTTTTCAAAGCCCAGCAGGTCACAGGAACCGTGGATGGTGAATCTGAAATGCTGCGATGTGGAAGGTGCATGTTCTGGCTTCAAAAATGAAAATGAAGCTAACACAGATAACTGACATACAGTGCCTAGTCAGCTGAGGAACATATAGTTGAGTGACCCTGACAGTTTCTCACCTTGACCAGTATCTATTTGCTTAAGATTCCTCCTCCCCTTTATTGCTGTTCTCAGTCTATGGCTACCAGAGCGAGATCGACCCTGCTGCCTCAGTGGTGCTGAAAGTCGTCAATCTACTGCATGGGAAGCGTGACAGAGAGGAGGACGAAAGGACAAGTGCCTCTGAAGAGCAGCTTGCACAGCAGCAGTGCTGATCTGCTGCACTCTGTCCCCTGTGTATCGAAACCATTGTCTGAAGAGAGGATTTGTTGAATTAGTTGTGCTTAGGGTGAACCTTGTCAGGGCGCAAACTACATAATAATAACTGGACGTGCGCCTCTTGAAATAGCACCGACCGTCCACAGAGCAAAAGTTAGAAAGCAAAGCAAGCCATGTTTGCCTTCAGGTCTGTGATTCACCCTGTTTTGTACCCATTTACTTTGGGTTTCCAATTCATTGTGTACAGTGCTTTCAGAAAAAGAAGTTTTAGGAATTTCCCTGGGTTGCTGCTTCTGCTTAAATGTTTTGTTAGGTATGTTTAGTGCCCAGAAGCCAGAGCCAGGGTAGACTTGTGCCTGAGAAGCAGTCCTAGCCACTTACCTGCAGGCAGTTGTTAGGAAGGGCTGTGCTGCTGTAGACTTTGGGAAAGCTCTATGGGGAGCACAGCCCTACAGCAAACCCCTGTCCAGAGCCCTCCTTGGGCTGCTGCCCAGATAATTGACAGCAGAATCGCTGCACCACAGCATCTGTGAGTCTCTGCTGCCTTGGTTTGTCGTTGGTCTTGTTTCCTCTTATCTGTCCACCCTCTCACAGGTTCAAGCTCTTACTCTCTCCTGTCTTCTTCTTGACCAACATCCCTACTGTTTCTGCAGCCTCGTTCTCTATACATTCTTGTTGTTGACTGTACACCCGCAGTAATACAGCAGTAACTGGGGCATTTTTAGCAACTTAGATTTTTGTTTAACTTTCCATTTGTACCCCTGCTGAGGCCAGTCGTATATTTGGATATGCTCTGCGTCAGTCAGCATCGTCACTCCATCAAGGGATGTTTCAATAGTACGTTGAAAGTAAAACTCAGGCAGAACTAACATCACCTTTTGTGTTTTGTCAGGTTTAAAAGATGGCTGAAGATGGCAATGATGAGACTATGTTTGTTTGTAAGTATTAAAAAGAAGATTATTTACTTCTTATGTGATTTGCCTGTGCAGGACTTTGGAAATTCAAGACCAAAACAAACTCAGGTTTTATTTAGAAAAGTATTTATGTAAAGAAAGCTGAAACAGCTTGTGGAGGACTAGAGAGAAGGTTGCTAATTTTAAGCATGCCCATATTCCTGATTTCATTGGCAACAAACAAGCGAAGAGCTCTGTAGATGTGACTTAGCAGAACAGCTTCTTCGTGGCTGAAATAAGTGTGGCTGAAGGCCTGGAGCCTGCCAGGGACTAGTCTATGTCCTGTCCTTGTACTGCTGGCTTTAGCAGCCAGGGGTTGCTCCATATGAATCTCAGACCTCTAGCTTGAGTTAAACATCTGCACCTCTGGGAGGAGTCTGCAGACTTGTTCTTTCAGGGCAAACCCCCTGTGAGATGTGCTGCCTGACCTGGCAGGTCTTGCTCACGCTGTACGCTATTTTCTTTTGCCTCCATGGCTAAGCCAGCATTTCACATACTTGCAAAGAAGTAAACACGCTTACCTGTGTGAGCAGAGGGGACTCGGATACTGGGGATCTGATCTGGGAAGAGCAGAACAGAGCCTATGTCCTTGATAGTATTCATCCACATTCTTTTGCTCCTGATGGCCCTACAGCTGCATGTCAACCTTATGGCAACTGTGTGGGAAAGAAAATTTTCCCACTACCACAGATTTACTAGAGTTCCTATAACCCACCCTAGTGGGTACCAATAAGGATGTGGATGTAATGTCATTCCCTAATTGCAGATGGAAGGTGGCACACGGCCTTTTTTCCTCTTCCAGTGAAAGTTACAATCACAGAATTTCTCGAGCCTTCTTGTATTCAATGTAAGATTTTACCATGGAATATGAGGACTGCTTAAGTTCCAAAAAAGTGAGTTGTTGTAAATGACATTGTGCATTCCCATGGCTAACATCATTAAATATCTATTTCGTAGACATAGGAGAGTTTTGGAATATTTTCATGAAAGTCTGTGCATACACGCCTGCAGGGTATTTTGCCGTTTAAGCAAAATGCTTGGTTTAGGTTAGTTGTGTATTGTTCCTGTGGCTGTAATGTCTTGAAGGTGTCACACATGGAGAGTGTACCACCAGCTTTGGGGGTGGCTGCTCTGAGGCATCTCTTAGATTTTGGGAGCTGTGCCACACAGTGTTGGTCTCATATTCCCTCTGCTTTGATTATTCATCCACGATGCAGTGAGAACCACATACAGTTTATTCCCACATGTGTTTGGGACGATGCTTGCTGAGCCTGTACAGCAGCTATTTTAGTAGATGGTGGAGTCAAAAGATAAGAGGAATAGAGAAGTAAGTGTTTTGTTTCCTTTGGCAGCAAAGCCAGTTTGAGAAGCTGTCATTCTGGCAATTTCTTCCAGGTCTCTTTGGTGGTGACAACCTTTGCGGGTGATAATCTAATTCCTTTCAGCAGTCTGCTTTACACAATCCTCTGTGGTTCCTCCATCCTGGTTGGTGTTGGAAATTTATATTTAACCCAGATTGTATCAAGTGCAATGCGAAGTACAAGTGATTGAATTTGATCCATGTCAAATGTGGGGGAGTGGTGGTATGTTAAACTGCACCGTAGGGGAGGTGGCTTGGCTGTAGGCTTGAGGCTTGGCGGTGATGTGTGAGTAACACCTCCCCACTTGTCCTTCCCTTTGATCCATCTGTCTGGTGCTGTACAGCAAACTGGGCTGGGAAATTCATTCAGCTGGAAAAGGCACTGATGGGAAAAAATGGTTATTTCGTGACTTGGTTCACCAAGAACACCACAAGCTGCAGGAACCCTGCAGATATTGTTAGTTCACTGAGATAAACTTGCAGGGAGAGGTTTCCAGTCAAGAACGCAGAGCATCTTTAGCAGAAGTGCATACCCTGAACAAAACTGCTTTATTTCTTGTTCTTATTCCAAGCAAAGTGTGCTCACCCTCTGTTTTGCAGCCTTACTGGGGTTAACTGACTTGCCCTTGCGAATGTGGAGCTCTGAGAGGATAACCTGTGTGTGATGATCTCTTATGCTGTGTCAGCTGCTGACCAGGCAGGGCAGTGTGACTGCTGTTTTTCACAGCCAAGCGATGTGAATGCATTTGAAATCCTGCTAAGCTGGTTTATTTTAGAAAGTTTCAAATTATCCTACTCTGGAAATGATTTTGTAGGGGCCTTTCAGCTCTGGTAATTTACACTTATGCTAACACTTAATTTAGTGAGTTGAAAGTGAGTTAAGGAGTAGTTTGAATGCATTGGTTAGCTGACTTGTTTGGGAAGACACCAGAAGCTGTCTCCAGGCACTGCTAACTCAGTATTGGCTGCTGCCTACACCATACCTGAGGACTGCATCAGCTGTGGCTCTAGGCAGAGTTTGGCTCCTGCTCTGCCCTCGTGTCCTGCACAAGATCCCCTGTTTGTGCCCAGGGATGAGGCACATCTTATTTCTAAAAGGACTACACTGTCCAAGCTGTTTCCAAAAACCTTTAGATGTATTTTACTTTGTGATAGATCTTGCATTTGACTCTTGAGAAAAAGACAGCTGCTCTCCAGCAGTTTTCCATGAACTCTGTTTGCTGTTTGCTTCCTTGCAGGGTGCGAGGACTGTGGGCAGTACCATGATTCAGAGTGCCCTGAGCTGGGCCCGGTGGTGACAGTCAAAGATTCCTTTGTGTTGAGCAGGGCCAGGTAAGGAGCATTTGTGTTAGTGCTGATTAACTGATGCTCACGTTAGCTCTTTAAGTCGTGTTTGCTCTTTATTGGGTATTATCGCTGTTTCGCTGACAGCTGAGAAGCAAAGCCCTGGTCTGTGAAAAGGACACAGCCTTTATTAAATAGAAAACTGATGCATGCACTTAATTGCTTTTCTGAACGAAAGCCAAAACATAACTCGCTGCTCATCAGGATTTGGCTTCTTTGCTCGAGTTTCTGGCAAAAAGTCAGATGGCTCCAGATGGGGGGATGACTTGTGCCTTGGTCACCTATCTGCAGCTCCTTCCTCTCCTCAAATGTAACATGCTGGCTTCAGACAAGGGTATGCAGATTTCCCGGTGCTGTGAATGGTTGTATCTTTCTGCGTGATCTTATCTCTGTAATTCCTCCATGGAGAAGCAAAGCAAGTTGTTCTCATTATTGTGACTCTGTACAAATGATTATGGCTAATGCTCCTGTCAGGAAATGTACAACAGCGCAACAGAAACGGCCGTGCTTGCTAAAAGAAACAAATAGACTCAATCTCCTTAGAAGAAAACAGCACTGAAGTAGCACATTAGTTTTACTTTTGGCATTGTAAGCAAAATTCATTAAAAGGTGTAAAATGTGGGACTTTTGCTAAGGAGAAAAGACAGCTATGATGAAGATGTAGTACAAATCCAAAAAGGGAAGGGAGTTTGTGTATCTTTCTGTGCTTCTTGTTAGGAATAGTACAAGCTGGTGATGGAGGTGCTTTTCTAATGCACAGAAAGTGGCCAGTGCAGTAAGTCTCCAACCCATCCCAAAAAGATTCAATGACAAGCTAAACTGTTCTTTTCTACCTTTTATGGTGGGGTGTGTTTTTATTGCCTTGTGATTTAACATTTGTTTGTTCGTATGGTGGAGGACTGTAGTAACGTCCAGATGTTCCAGCTGTGAGCATTTGTGAATGTGGTGTGGGCATTGGTTTTCAGCTGCTTCTAGCAGATGTTAGCATAGGTGTTCCCTAGTTCCCTAGTGGAAGTGCTGGCTGCTGGAGAGTGGATTTGAAAGCAGAGTTTAAAAATGACCATATTACTGGGGGAAAAAAAATATTTTCTTGAAGAGTTTACAGCCAAAAACAGGTAGGATAAGAAATGGGAACAAGAATTGTAATTGAAACAAGATGTAATGTATTTTACATCTGGGGAACAGTAGCTGAGAGAGTGATTTGTCTGAGGTTGAGGGTAAGTTTAACCACAAACCTGGCTATGGGTCTCTTAAAACCCAGTCTATTTGTGTAACCACATGGTAGCTGTTTTCCTCTGTTCTGCTGAAAAGATAAAATTGTTCCTATATGGTTAGAAAAAAAAGAAGAGTTAAGAAATATCTCCTAAACTTCACAAACTCTACTATATAATTCTTCTATTAAAACCAAAAGCTTTTTTTTTTTTTTGCTTTTTTTTTTAATTCATTTGCTTATCACTAACATTGTAATCTTTTTGTGTTTCTCTTCACGTAGACAGGAAAGTGGATGAGGCACTGGCAGCCTTTATAGAGTAGTCAGCCTGTCCAATTAGATTTTGACCCATTAGCACAGAGCTGAAAAACCAGGGTTGTATTTGTCTGACAAAGGCATCCCCATGTGCGTAGGGCTGTGTGGTCAGAGAGACTGTTGATAGCCTTGCTAAAGTCAAGGGAAATTGTATCCATTGCCCTTCCCTCATCCACAAACCTCTGTGGCAATGAGTGTATCAGGTGTGATTGTTTCCAGTCCCCTGTTCCTGGTGTGCCCATAAATACCTCACAGAACGTCTTGCTCCACAGTTTTGCCAAGGACTGAAGCAGGGCTAACCAACCTGTAGTTCATTTTGACTCTTTCCTGAAGGTGAGTGCAACATTTGTTTTTCTCTAATCATCAGGGACCTTTCCTAATGCCACGATATTTTAAAGGCGATACAGAGTAGCTTCAATATGGTGCTGGACCATCCCCTTCCACCCACAGACTCAGCCTGTTGAGTGCCTGGTGGAGTGCTCTTAAGTAACTGCTGATCTGGCCCTCTTCCACTGCTGTTACTTTTTTTCTCTTCTGTTTATGAATTCTCATAGAAATAAAGGTATTTTGACAGAAGACAGTTTTCTGTCACTGGAGAGTGGGGCAGTGAATGCTGACATCTTTCTTCCCTTGATCCCTGCAATTTTGTCCCATATATGACTCAATTCTTTATTCAATTCTTAGATCATCTCTCCCTTCTAATTTGGAGATAAGACAATTGGAAGATGGGACTGAAGGAGTATTTGCTTTGACTCAGCTAGTGAAACGTACCCAATTTGGCCCATTTGAATCCAAGAGAGTTGCCAAGCTTGAAAAAGAAACTGTTTTTCCCCTAAAGGTAAGATGTGGCATTGTGAAAAGCAATAAAAGGGAATCGGCTTTACCCATCATGGTTTTATACTTTCTGCCACTGTGGAAAAAGATGGGCAAAGAATGTTACTGGGATATCTTTTAGGCATATACTGTAACAGTTTAATCTACAGAAGCATTCTGTGGGAGATAAGAGCTAGGATATAATCCAATCACACCATTGCTTGTCTGTCACTCGCATGTGATAATACAGGAAGTGTCAGGCACATGGCAGTTCATTTCAGGGTTTTTTGATCATTGGCTTCACTTTGATCTTGTTTGCTTAATCAGTGGCACGTTCATTAGTCTTATGGAACAAGCAAAATAAGTCTTACATTTGCTTTATTTTTCTCTTGACAAGTTTTGGTGGGAGAAATACCATGGTGAAAATTTAATTCATCCTTTTCAATAATACATGACTCAGAAGCAAAGACTTAGAAATGTGATGCAGGGGCTGATGGGTGTTTCGCAGTGTGCTGTTAAGGTTTCGATCTGTTCTCCTCTATAGAGTCATTCACATTTTGTGAAAAACTAGTGGCTATACCAAGACTTTTTGGCATGGGGGTTCTCTTTGTTCCCATCCTGCTCCTGGTAGCCTGTCTCAGACTTTACTCACCTGAGGATGTGACTGATTCATGACGCAAACGTTGAGGCTTGTTCAGTGAACCTGATGTACCTTGAATGAACACCATGGCAAAAATATATATATACATTTTTTTAACTTTGCATTTTTTGTTACGGCTTTATCACGCGTATAATTTGCTTGGCAGGTGTTCCAGAAAGATGGGCCTTTTTTATACTTTGACACCTCAAATGAAGATGATTGCAACTGGATGATGATGGTGCGACCAGCCACTGAACACGAGCATCAAAACTTAACTGCCTTCCAGCATGACAATGATATTTATTTCACCACCTCCCGGGACATCCCACCAGGAACTGAGCTGCGAGTGTGGTATGCGGCTTTTTACGCCAAAAAAATGGAAAAGCCAATGCTGAAGCAGGTCACTAGTATTTCCAATGGTATGTGTGGGGGCCTTTCTTCCTTCTTAAGGACCCAAGCCTCTTAGGGGCTGCTAGTTACAGTTGCTAGTGCTGTTTATCGGTTTGGCTCTGACCCTGAATGTGTTAGCCTTCGGAGTCAGGCTAACCTGTGTACATGGTTACCTTACAAGAAGAAAGCACAGATTCTTCACCATGATATATCTCAGCTTTTGAAAGCAGAAGGATGACCTACTTGATGATTCGGCCTCTTCAGGCTCAACAGACTGGATAATTAGTTCTTAATTGAAGAACTGTTAGCTGCATCAAAATCACTTGAGGATACAAGAGCAAAGGGGCTCAGTTGTCAATGTATGTCTAAATGTATTTGTTGATTTGGTAAAGAAGCCACGTTTTTTCAGTTGGAGTGAAAATGTTTTGGTTTTGCTTAAAACTGCTGTACCATTCTGAAAAACTTTTACCTTCTGCAGCTTTACACGGAACCCACTGGAATGACGTAAGCTCAGAAGTAAGCTTCAATTCTACTTGATTGCCTGTGCATTGGCAAAAAAGGCAGCAGATTTACTAGAGCCCAAATTAGAATTGCCAGAGGTCTTTTATCTCTCTGCCCCTCTGTTGTTTTTTTTTTTTCCTATATTTGCATTTCTTTAGCTAAAAAGCTTGATCCTTCAGCATTGCAAGGGCAATTTCTGTTGTTGAGTTGGGTGTACTCCCATCTGGTGTTATTGCCACGCTGAGTATAATTTGGGGTGACAAATGGCCTGCAGAGAGGCCAGTGCTAATAACATACAGCTAATCTTGGTAGTAAGCATGGTCTGGAATACTGAATCAGTCTTGTAAACTTGTTTCTGAATTTAAGATTTTTCCAAGTGGTATTAATTGAAGAGTTTCATCTTTTTCCTCTTTAGTTTAAACCATTCATGTATTTTCACGTTCAAAAAGGTATTTAAAAATAGGGTTAAGGTATGTCCTGCTTTCTCTCTTCAGCACTTTCACTATATACCCCATAATATGAAGGGCACATTGTGTCAGATTGGAGAGCAAGAATGTGCTGGTTAGGATTTTGCACGGTAATGTTTTCTGCAGGCCTGCTATAAGGCAAAACTTTTTCATTATAATTGCTGCCATCAGCAAAGAGCAAGAAAATCAAAGGGTTTGGAAAGTAAAGAAATGGAACTGTTTTTTCCTCTCCATAGATATGTGCTTGGTAGTGATGGAATGTGATAAAGAGGGGAACAAAGTCTCTCCAAAGCCCTCGACTGTCGTCTTCCCCCATAAAAAAACGAAGAAATCCAGCATACCAGTAGCTGATCCAACAGGTATGCAAAGTTATGGTAGTTGTAAGAGAGATAGAGGGCAGGTGTAAATCTAAAAATCTTCTAGGTATAGCACTTCATCATAGTTACCACAGTTATATATTCAGCAAGTACTTATTTAGGAAGTATTTGAAAGCCTAGATTTTTCTTGGCCTTATCACAGTTGCACGCGTGCAGCTTAAAATGTGACAAAAGGGACAAAAATTCCTTTAACTGGATGATTTTCATGAAAACAACTGCATCTGACTTTGGAGGTGATATGGGCTGGGTTGGGGGAGCTGCAAAGACAATCTTTAGACTTTCTCTGCAAAGTGCAATTGTTCAAATGGTCAGGATCTGGAAGAAAACATGTGAGTGTAAGAACAGTGCTGTTTGCTGGCAGAGCTCCCCACATTACAATAGTGCTAGAAGTCTAGAACGGTTCAGACTGCACTGAGTAGAACATGAACTCAAATTTAGTTAAATTTATAAGCAATATGGATATTACTGGCAAAGAATATGGAGGTCAGGACATAACGGGTGGTGTCACAGACCATCAGTCCCTGAGGCTGATTATGAAGCAATCTGCACGTAATCTCTGGTAAATGGAACAGCGGAATTAGAGTCCTTTTAACAAAAGTCACCATGTCTAAAAGTAAACTCAGAGTATGTAGCAATATATAGCATATATAGGGTATATAGTATATATGGAGTTCAGGATCAAAAGAAAGCATTCTGTGTCTGTTCTTTGAAAAAAGTTGGTTAAATTTTACTCACTAGTATTAAAAATAGTCAGGAGAAGAGCAGTAGGTTGCAGATGTGTAACAGAGAACTTCATCAGAAGAGGTCTATTCATGTTACATGGATACTGTCACAGTCTAAATATGAAGCTGGCCAGACAGCTGCTTTTCAGTTTAGCATGCTGATTTTTCCAGGAAAAAAAAATGACGAAAAATTTGAACAAGGCTTTCTACGTCCTTCACTCTACTGTCTGAAAGCCCAGCTTTAACAGAAACAAAATGCTGCTGTTATACTTTGGGAACCCTGAAGTATTCCCACTGCTTGTAATGTTTTCATGTTTCCACAACAAAATATGCCTTTTTTTGAATCTTATACTGACCTTAAGTCATGCAGAGCTGTTGCAAACTGACAGATCTTTGCTTCACCCTGGAAGCCTGACAAAGTGGAAAGCTAAGCAGATCATGACTCTTCCTGGGTAATCAGTGCACAGTCAGGGTCTCTAGGTTCAAGGCAGGGAAGGAGCAAGGGAGACACAAAATGAGGGACAATTTTCAAAAACGGACTTCAGTTTTGCAGATTGTGAATTGTCATTTTTACTAGCCACAGAAACTTCATGACATAGATCCAATACTTTACATATTGCTTAATAGTTTGACTTTTTTTTTTAATTACACAAAATTTTGCTGTTCAGGCTTGCTATCTTTGGTCTCCTTCACAAATCTCTCAAGATAGTACTTTTTTTTTTTTTTTCATAGCCTCTGAAGAAGGAATTCCTGTTTTTGAATTATTGGGAATCATTCAGACTGGAGAAGTGGGCACATGAGAACCTAATGAGGTTCAACAAAGCAAAGTGCAGGGTGTTGCACTTGGGCCAGGGCAATCCCAGGTGTTTTATACAGACTGGGCAAAGAACCCTTTGAGAGAACTGTGGAGAAGGACTTGAGGGTCCTGTAAACCAGAAGCTGGACGGGAGCCAGCAGTGTGTGCTTACAGCCTGGAAGGTCAGCTGTGTTCTGGGCTGCATTAAAAAAGGGTGGCCAGCAGGGAGAGGGAGGTGATTGTCACCTTCTACTTGGCTCTTGTGAGGCTCCATCTGCAGCACTGCGTCCAGGTCTGGGGCCCCCAGTACAGGAAGGACATGGAGCTCTTGGAGCGGGGCCAGAGGAGGGCACTGAGATGATCAGAGGGCTGGAGCACCTCTCCTATGAGGAACGGTTGAGAGAACTGGGCTTGTTTAGCTTGGAGAAGAAAAGGCTCCGGGGAGGTGGTTCCAGTATTTGAAAGGAGCATATAAACAGAAGGGAGAATGGCTGTTTACAAAGGTGGATAATGAAAGGACAGTGGGGAATGGTTTTAAACGAAGACAGAGGAGGTTTAGGTTAGATATTAGGAGGAAGTTTTTCACACAGTGGGTGGTGACACACCGGAACAGGTTGCCCAAGGAGGCTGTGGATGCCCCATCCCTGGAGGCATTCAGGGCCAGGCTGGATGTGGCTCTGGGCAGCCTGGTCTGGTGGCTGGCAACCCTGCACATAGCTGGGGGTTTGAAGCTAGATGATCTTTGTGGTCCTTTTCAACCCAGGCCATTCTATGATTTTATGATTTTTATTTATTTATTACAGTGTGGATGAGATCTGATGTGTGTAGTGTAGAACATTAAACATGCTTGTAGTAGCCTCAGAGAGCCTTTTATTTTGGCTTAAGAGCCAAGAACAAGAAGGAAGAAGTATCTTTATCATCCCAGTACAGATGGGGTACAGATTAGGCAGAGAGAGTTTAACTGAGTGCTTACTGTCATACAGTTTGAATCTTCTGTGCTGGTGTTCACTTCATCTAATTACAGTGTCATCCTCCTTTTCTGGGGAATTCTTGTGTGCTGTGGAATATTCTGTGTGTACCAAAAAATCTGTGAACTGGTCTAGATTTATGAGATACTCGTGACAAATGTAGACAGATCATCCAAGGACTGAAAGACAATGGACTGTGCGCAAAGTAACCATTTTCCTTTGTTTTTAATTCCAGATCCATTTTCCTCTCTATTTCTTCTTGTGTGCCAGCTGATAGGCTAATTAAAATCCTAATACAGTAGACTGGTAGAATATCCAATTAACGAAACTAGTCAAAACCAGGTTTTCATTATTCTCACCCATACATCTGTTCATCCAAATGTTTTTAATCTGTGATGCTCTGCAGAGAGAGCAAGGATGATTTTTTTACTTCTGTCCTCAGCTCACCCAGTAGAGCACTGGTAGCTCCAATTTTAATGGTGCAAAAAAATACTTTTTATTGTGCCTTTAATCATCACAGCTCTTCAGAAGGTGCCAAAGGGACCTTAGGACTTTACTAAAGCACCAATGTTTTTCTGCAACCATTTAGATTCTTTTCTGACTTCAGGTGTTCATGTCTGCAACATCCTGAAGTGGCCCCAGAGAATAAATCAAACTTCATTTCCTTTTGAATTAAACATGTACAGGCATCTGATTACATTGGTGGAATATAGCTGGGAAGTCAAAAATTAAGCAGCTGCCTCTGTGAGCCTCTTACTGCTTAAATCATCGTTTGTGATATACAAGGAGTCACTGTAAGCTGAATAAGACTACAGGGATTTACTACTTTCCCATATTCAAAGCTTTAGAGTATTTTTTCTTGTGATTTAGTGAGCACTCCAGAAGGCAGTGGAGCTGCAGAAGCAGAACCCAGCCAGTGGACATGTAAAGTGTGTTCATCTGCTTTCCAGGAGCCTCAGCTTTTGACAGGTAAGGAGTGCTAAAAATTGATGATGGTACTAAGAGGTGTTAGGAGAGTTCCATTCTTCCAGACTGCAAAGCTACATCATGGACACATGATGTAGTAAGATAAAGATTTTATGTTTGTGTTCCTTTGACAAAGAAGGTAGGGATGAGGGGTAGGTAAAATGATGTTATTAATATGGCAGCAAGCAATCTCTGGGCAAACAGATATTGAATTGAGATACTGAATCTAGAAAATTGTTATCAAGAAAATGATAGGAATATTAGGAATATCAAGGACAGGGAACTGCATAAACAGTGTATAAGATCAGTAAGTGATCCCAGCTTGCAGTTACTGATACTGTCTGGTGTTTGTGACGCAGATATAGTAATAGTAATTAAATGTGTTTTTTCTGTATTTCATTTGCAGCTATTTTGTTCCGTTTAAAATATTTGAGAGCTGTCACCATTTGACTCATTTTTGAAAAGGACACTCGGGTTGCTAAATAAATTGGGTATTTGGAAAAATGTACCCATTATCATAGAATTGTAGAATCCTTAGGGTTGGAAGGGACCTTTAAATGTAATGTAGCCCAACACACCCGTGCTGAACAGGGACACCACAGCTACATCAGGTTGCTCAGGACCTTATCCAGCCTCGTCTTGAAAGTCTCCAGGGATGGCACATCAACTACATCTCTGGGCAACCTGTTCCAGTGCCTCACCACCCTCACTGTAAAAGACTTTTTCCTCATGTCCAATCTAAATTTGCCCTCGTTAAGGTTGAAATTATCAGGGGCACAGCCTGTTTCCGGTTACATCTAACAGACCTCTTAAAAACTGTAGTCAATGTTAGTAATTATGTGAATGTTTATCAGACAGTTTGCTTTTAGTTAGGATGGTATTGTGACTGCTTTTGAAATAATTTGAAGTGAGTCACTGTTAAATGAGGTTGACCTGTTCAATAGGCTTCAGATCGATCTATCCCTTAGTATACTTCATGGCAACCTCTTCATACTCTTGCTATTTCCATCCGTTCAGAGCACTTGATGAGTCACCTGGAACAAGCTAAATGTGCCCCCCAAACCAGCCAAAGTGAGGTTGTTGCAGATAAAGTAACAGAGGCTCCCCCTGCGGATCCACCAGTGGTTTGTGATGCTGCCAGTGCCAGTACAGACTCAAGGAGAAAGGCCAGGCGGGGAAGGAAGATCAAAACAACAAAAGCAGAAACAGAAGCACCCCTTGTTGCTGAAGAGAAAGATCCTGCAGGTAAAACAAAACTGTAGAAAATGCTAAGTCATACCCCGCCTTCATGTGTCTTTATTTCTCAAAAAGGCCTACAAAGTAGCACAGAGACAGGGTGAGGTTTTTAGGACCATCTCTAAAGCAGATAAGTACAAACGTGTCTTTCTGTCAGATCCAGGTCTGCAATAAAGGTTGCAACATCTATAGTTAGATTACCTGCATTCTCCTGCAAAAGTTTTAGGAATAGAAAGGGCCAGAGAAATGCAGGATGGTGATTATGAGAGACCTGCCTAGCTTCCTGCAAGAATCACAGAATGACCAGGATTGGAAGGGACCTCAAGGATCATGAATCTCCAACCCCCCTGCCATGTGCAGGGCCACCAGCCTCCCCATTTAATACTAGACCGGGCTGCCCAGGGCCCCATCCAACTTAAAACCATTTCCCCTTGTCCTGCTATTATCTACTCTTTCCAAAGGAAGGAACAGGAGAAGAAGCATCTTCCCTCAAGCAGAGATACCTTCCTTTCTCTGACATAGGGTGGTGTTCCTGGGAGGGGCTTTTTTCAGGACCTTGCTGTTCTTTAAGGGAAGGTCACATAGAATATTTCACCTTGCATATAGTCAGCTGGCCCCTTGCTAGTAGGCTGTGGGAAGGTAAGACGTTGCACTTTGACCTGCGATTTAGTAGCCCCTTTTTGTATCTTGCAAGTCATGCTTACTCATTAGCAATCTGTTATTTGTTACACATATATCATTACAAAAGAAAAATCCTGTATGAAGGTTTTCTTTCTAGCTATCACATTAATACTGTATTTTTATGATATGTTTGCAGTGGAACGTGTAGCTGACACTGCAGCTGAAGTCCCACCAGAAGAAGTGTCTCTGCCATCAGCTGCAGAAGAGAGGATAATGGAATTGGTTTTAGGAAAGGTGCCTAGCACCACGAATAGCATCAGTTCAGTCACAAAGTAAGTGTTCTGGAACGCAGAATTTCCTCTCAGGCTTAATCAAGATTAAGTAGCATGCAGCAGTTCTTCTACTGGGCCCATAGGTACTCTTTTTCATTACTGTAAAAAACGTGATGCTGCTGCTAGAAGAGCCACAAAGATGGCTCATGTACTGTAGGGTGATGCATGGTTGATGAGATATTGGTGCTAGAGGGCTGGAACATATGATAATTTCATTTTCTGTCACGTGGCAGGTTTAATTCAATGTGATCCCAAAGTCTCTTGCAGTTTCACAATGAAATACTGTGCAATTGAACATACTCCTATTGAATGTTGGTCATAAAACAGGCAAATAGATTTTTGCTTTAAAAGAAAGCTAACAATTATTCAGTCTGGTTTGTATTTTAACTCATAAATCACTTCATATTGATTTGAGTGTGTCACCTCAGACTTAGAGCAGTGGAAAGTGAAAACGTAAGTATACCAGAACCTCAGGGAGACTTTTAAATATCAAGGACTTTTAAAATTATTTTTCATCTTTCTGACTTGGTAAAATTGGCTTCTTGATTTTTATTTTTTTTTTTTTGCATAATAAAGTGCTTGTTAGATATTTCAAAATTAGCTAGTAATGCTATATACTACAGTCCTTAGCAGATACAGAGCCATCAAAAATGCATTCCAGCTGGTGGTGGTGCTGGGAAATAGAACACTGTTGCTTCTTGGTGCCCTGCTGCCTTTTTTACCATACGTGCTTTTTGCATGAAAACTGCCAAGATTTCTAAGCTGAAAGCATGCTAATGGTATTTTTTCAGAGGAGCAGAACGGATCCTTTGTGCTCCTCTGAGAGGCCTGAAAAGACAATCTGTGGGGTTGGTGGCTCCTGCTTCCTTTCTTTTTTGTCTTGGGTGAAGTTAATTTGAAGCAAGCTGCTTTCCAACATCTGCTGCTTCTAGCAGGTGGCTGAAAGGTCGTCTTGGCAATGATGAGGCTCCAGCGCTCCCTCTCCTGTCAGAAGCTGAGCATAACATCTTCTAGCTTTCGCCATCTGGTGGGACTTTCTTGCAACCTGTGGGATACCTTTCAGTCCCTGCCTTTCTTTCTCTGATCCAGTAGGTTTGCTCATCACCAAAACAGCATGTCCCTCAAAAGAAGTTTAATTCTCTCCAGTAGACATGGTATACGGCGGAAGCTGATAAAACAACTTGGGGAGCACAAAAGAGTCTATCAGTGCAGTATCTGCAGTAAGATCTTCCAGAACAGCAGCAACCTCAGCAGGCACATCCGTTCTCATGGTAGGTTTGCTTTTGCCTTGCTTGTGCATTGTTTCTTTCTCTCATTGGTTCCACTTTTGAGTGAAAACATCTTAAGCTATTCTTAGATATTGGTATGCATTGTTTTAATAGAGCTCTTCCTTTTTTTTTTTTTTCTTTTTTAAGTTATGCAGACTATAGGAACTGAAATTATTTAAAATTTGGATCTGGATACATATTTAAGCAGGAGGAAGGAGGCGATGACTTTCCAAAACTATTAGTCCCTTTACAGATATATTCCCCCATCTGAACAGTCTCATGATCAATACTGCTGTGAAAATATCACCAAAGTGCTTCTAAAGATTTTGCAAAAAACAGCACTTCAGAAAAGGGTGGGGGGAATCAAACAAAATTGTCACTAGGTAAACTTCACTAGAATGAAAAAGGTTAAGATCTACTATCTGGATCTCCTGAATTACTAAAGCTTCTAATCATTAGCCTGTTTGTTTTGTTTGTGCTTTGATTTCCCCTGTCTTGTCTTAGAGTTATTATCAGTTTCTGACTACTTTTTTTTTTAATCTTGATTGATGCCCTCAGGTGACAAACTATTTAAATGTGAGGAATGCGCAAAGCTGTTCAGCCGTAAAGAGAGCTTAAAGCAGCATGTTTCATACAAGCACAGCAGGAATGAAGTGAGTGGAAATGAGGTTATGTGAAAATGTGCAGTGAGCTTCCAGGTGCTCACTGGGGAGTTTGGGTCAATTATGCTTGAGCGGATATCTCTGTGAATTTCTTAGAAGTGAGGTAAGACTGATAAGGAGAGGTAACATCTCCTGTTAGAACAGCTCATCAGTTTGGAAAGCGTGGGCTTACGTAAGGCCATAAAGTTCTTTTTTGTGTCTCAGTTTCCTGTAGAAGGGTGTTTTCAGGCATCACTTACAGTAAGACAAGCTGAAATTAGCTGCACCTACATGACCCAGAGGTGAGATTGGACTTCAGTTTATTGTACCAAACAGTATTGCTCTACTTTTGTTTGCCTGTCCTCGTTTATTTATCTCTGCCTGTTGCAGAGATAGTGTATCAATACTCTGGGTAAAGGCTGCATTAATGAGCGCTGTGAGCCCATGTGTAAACCTACAGAGCTTATAGCAGAGTGCTGTGCCTGCTGACGAGGGCTTTTTAGTTCTACTACCACCATATTAGTATTAAACATCCCAGTGGTGGGGTCTTATCATTGAAAATTTCTGTTGCCTGACATCAAGACCCAAGGCTCTCATATTCCTGGCATCTATTTGGGAGCTAGAGGATGAGTCAGGTTACTTGCTTTTCAGAATTTCTCTGTCAGACTCAGGGTAATCAGGAAGACTGTTAGATGCACACAGGTGCATGGTCTATTGGTCTACTATTGGTTTTTTTGTTGTTTTGGTTTTTTAGTAGAGATCAAATGTAGGAACATAGCATGATAACATAGCGTTAGAATTTTGCACTGGTGTATATTTAAACATCATGCTGAAGGCAGAAAAATTGCTCAAGATAAAAAGCAGAAAAAGTAATTGAGATTTCTCTGTCAATCATGACTCAACGTTTTCCCCTCTTAAATAATCTTTGTAATCCTCAGGTTGACAGTGAGTACAGATACAAGTGCACAACATGTGAAAAGGCTTTTCGAATAGAGAGTGCCTTGGAATTCCATAACTGCAGGACAGGTGAGCGTGGCTATGTTTCAGCTTCCTCTCATCTTTATGGGTATGCCCACAAATCCACCTCAGCATACTAACTACAAAGGGAAAGTACGCATTTGGATTTTTTTCATTATTGCAAGCAGCCTGCCACTTTCCTTTCTTCCTTCCCTTATAAAACTTCTTTTTGCAATAATCAAAGTAGAATCCATAATCTGCAGAGTAATACATCCACTTATGTGTTGCCTTTTTTCTTTTCCCTGCTCACCCATAAAATATCGTCACTGATATTTCACTTGTATGTTCACGGATACCCTGTCACTGTCTATGTTTAACTTTCTTTCCTGAAACTAAGTTTCAACTAATTTCTCTGAGAAAGAGGAACTGGAAAAGAGGTCGCTATTATTGATAGTCTACAATTTTCAGAGATTAGTTTTCTTCTGCTTTTTCGTGCTTTCTTTATACTTAAAATAATCTCTCCGTATGTTTCCTTCTTGCTATCACTAGAGCCTGTCCTTTCCTTCCACAGCCTTCCCTTGTTATTACTCCTATTAGATGTTCTGAGTGATCTTATGCTTAGAAAATGACAGCCTGATTACTTTCATAGACACATGATAACTCCCTGTTCAGAATCACCTGAGTAGCTGCCGCCTCAAGCACCATTCAAAATAAATTTTCTGATTTCCTTTGAAAGGGTGCAGATTGAATAAGAACTCAGCCTTATGAAGAATGGGAAGCAAAGCTGAATGACCTCAATATTGAAAGAGACCGGCTTATTTTCTTTTTGAGTTGACTGCTACCATAATGAGCAGCAGTATTTGCTCTCCAATTTGACAAATCAAGCAGTTAGCATCTTTGTGATTGCTGTAGTGTTGGCAAATTCCACCTAAAGGACCATGCTTTCATTTTCTGACAGAAGTCTCAACTACGGAATATAAAACAAATTTCCTATAGGCCTGTTACTTGTAATGTTCCTCTTCTGAGATTTTGTACTTTCTTCTGGAGTATGCTGTACTGGCTGACATTAGGAGCCAATGCTGGCAGTATTCTGATGTTTAGATACAGCTGACAGTGTTCTGATGTGTTGCCATATACACAGCTATTTTACCATCATTGAAAACTTGAATCAACTGTAACTGAGTCTACTTTGAACATTATTTTAATGTATGCTAGACCATGATAGAAATAGACCAGGGAAGGAAAATATGATGGTAGAGTCAGTGTTGAACTGACATATGTTGTTATTGCTTTTGAAGAAATACTCTCCAGGGATTGTTAACTTCACATAGCAAACATGCACTTGGTGTATTTTTTGGGGTTTATTATACTTTTAATGAGAGGACAGATTTTAGAGTTAAAAAAAAATACATACTTCATTTCCTTCCTCAATCTATATATAATGATTGATTACTTGTATGTTATAACTCAGGTTTCACAAAAGAACTAAAAGATATGTCACAAACATAGAAAACTTGCTTTCCTTTTAAAAAGCTGCCTGGTTTCTCTTGCTTACAGATGACAAGACATTCCAGTGTGAGATGTGTTTCAGATTCTTTTCTACAAACAGTAATCTTTCCAAACACAAGAAAAAGCATGGAGATAAGAAGTTTGCGTGTGAAATCTGCAATAAGATGTTCTACAGGAAGGATGTCATGCTGGACCATCAAAGACGACACCTGGAAGGTAAGCTTACCACCTATGAACCTAGTTATTATGGTAGGTGTCATTTTTAGTCAGTTTCTTGCTGTAAAGTTGCAGGTTTCAGCAGTATGTGAAGTTTATGAAAAGTAACAGTAATGAATCCTGGATCAGAGTTATTTAGATCGGAGAAACCTTTTTAGGAGCTGCACCCTTTTTTTTAACTTCACATGATTGGATGCAGTGTTGCTGACAGTCACATGAAAGCTGCTTGGCTCATCATGCAGTATCTGAGACTGCCTAATTTTATCAGTCTTTTTTTTTTTTTTTTTTTTTTTTTTTTTTTTTTAAGTTTCTTTGATTTTTCTCTTTTAAATATGTGGTAATTAGAGTATTTGAGAGCAGAGAATTAACTGAAAGTGACTGCTGTATAAATATATATCTATTCTATAGGCTGCTACCTGACCAATATTGTATAAATGGAATGCTGTGTGATGTAATCTAGGGAGTACATGAAGATGAGATTATGAGATTTCAAAATTTCCAACATCTAAGGATGTTATGTTCCAGGCTGGTTGTGGCTCTGGGCAGCCTGGTCTGGTGGTTGGCAATGCTGTACATAGCAGGGGGGTTGAAATTAGGTGATCATTGTGGTCCTTTTCAACCCACAGCATTCTGTGATATGATTCTGTGTTATAGATACTCCTCAAAGGGTCTGGAAAAACTTGGACAATGACAGCTTACCAAATTATACGTTAAAATACCACTAGTGGTGTAGAAGATAAGAATGAAGGTGATACATATATAAAAATAATAATAAAGCAGTCAAATTATGTAATTTGTCACTTTGGGCACGGCCAGCCATCACTGGACTTTCATGATTCAGCTCTCTGTGTCCTGAAAACTAGAGGACAAGGTTTTGAGTAGTGATGGCAAGAAGTTTCACATTCAGTTGTCACAGAACAGCAGCAGCCCTTTTCTTCATTGAAAGTAGCAAAGAAAGAGGTCTGTAATCGTCCTTGAACATCAGAAATGATGCTGGGTTATTCTCTCTCCCCTCAGAGACTGACAAAGGGATTTCTAGTCTGGATGTCTGATCAAAATACCAAGGCCTATTAGATCTGCCTGTTTTCTGTTATTGACAATAAATTCCTGTTTTCAGACACATTACAGTTGGAGTAATGTCCAACAGGCCACAATACTTCCCTTTGGCAGAATTCTTCTGTATTCTTAAGATGGCATTTTTACTAAGAAATGATCCTTTTGCTAGCAATTAAATTCTGCATTGAGGCTCTTCCCAGTATTTCACTCTTCTTTACAGTACTCACCTGAGAGGGCATGCAGATTGGAGTGGAAAGCCATGGTTTATTTTTTTTGTTTTGTTTTTTTGATGGGGGCTGTTCTGTAAAGGGGTGAGGCGTGTGAAAAGAGAAGACTTTGAACACAGCACGGAAAACATGGTTCGCTACAAGAAGGAGCCTTCAGGATGTCCTGTGTGTGGGAAGGTAGGCTGCTTTGCCAGCATGTGCCCCGTGAAGCTATGTGTTGTAGCTCCAGGAATATGCTGAGGGTACAGTGCCTCAGCTCTGAGTCTCTAAATAGACACACTGTCTGCCAAAAGGTTGAGGTAAATGACATTTAGTGCACTATGTGCCACATCAGACTGCCTCGCAGCTTACACAGATGCATGTCAGCAGCAAGTCCTGAGGCCCAGCCAAGATGTTCCTCTTTCAGCTGCATGAGCTCTATTGTATGCCCAAGTTCCACTACGGCCAGTGACTGTGGAAGCTGTTATGACAAAAATAAGAACAAAACTGAAGTTCAGACTAGAGTTTTTTCAGGACGTGCAACATGGTCACTGTGTCTGGCAGTGAATCCTCATGGCTTACGCTATTTAGAGTGAAGATTTTCTTCCAGAATGAAAATGGCTACAATTGACTGTATTGAAAATCTGTTAGAATTCCAAGTGAATTCATTGTGTGATTGTGCCATTGTTGTGTTTTGGAGCTTAATATTCATTATCTGAAGTTGCTACTGTCACCAGTGCAAAGACTGTGGATTTTACTAGTGATTTTATAAATGTTTAATGATTCATGGTGGAAGGTGTACTCAAGCAACACTTAAATTGGGGGGTAAGCTTTTGATTTTGATGCTTTCAGTATGTTAATTTCAGTGAAGATAGATTTTGTGCATGTATCTTTTTACAGATAGATGCAACATTCTTGGTTCAAAAGACACTGTCTAAATAAATTTACCCTATGTAATTCTGCTGCATCTATTTGTAAGCCCACCTCTAATAAGTAGGCAATTTCATTAAGTTCTTTGGAGCTGCATATATGTTTTGCTTTGTCACCAGTTTGTGAGGTCATCTGCTGGCTAGATAACAGATGTTCCTGTCTGTTTCTGGTCTGAATAAATAAAAAAGACAGGAGGTACATTCTTAGCTATCTGTTGGGTAACTTGTAAAGAACTGCAGCCCTGCTGGATGTGATACAAAAACCCATCCTTCTTTCTTTTAGGTGTTTTCATGTAGAAGCAATATGAACAAACACCTTCTAACACATGGAGACAAGAAATACACCTGTGAAATCTGTGGACGTAAATTTTTTAGAGTGGATGTATTGAGAGATCACATTCATGTCCATTTTAAGGTACTGTGTTAATTGTTTGGTAGAGAAGTCATTTAGCAAACATTAACAAACATATGGATAAATATAGAGAGACTGTTACAGCCATGTGTTGTATGGCAACACAAGTGATTGTGTATCCTGTGTGGTGATGTTTCTGCTGCAGTCTAGCAAGCACTGTGTTCTGTACCTATGGCTCTGGGTTTCCACATGTGTTATTTCAGAATGCTCATCTAAACTTGTGACTTTGCATGAGTCATTGAGGTGGACTGGTTTAAAGCAGAAAGAATAATTACCTAACAAGACAGCTGCTAACAGATGTATTTTTCCAGCTGTAGTTTGGCTGAGATGAGGGTTTACTGTCATCCCCTCTCTGCACTGAAAAAAACTTCACCAACCAACAACAAAATTAACTGTTCCTGCTCTTTTCCATGCCACTGACTGTGATTCTCTTGTATATACCAGCATAACTGGCTGCGTGCTCAGTTCCTTACCTGGTTTTGTCAAAATGATTCAAATCATTTAAAGAGGGGAAAAAAAAAAAAAAAAAAAGACTAGCAGTGTCTAAACAGATGCTGATTATTTTGGCATCACTTGGTTAACCCAAAATCTAAAGGAATTGTATCACTCAGTGACATTTGTAAAGACTCTTATGTGGATGTAATACTGAACCCGTTGACTCTGTTTACATTAAAATTCATTCTATACACAAAATCTGGTATTATCTGTTCAGATGAATGGTTGTTTCTTGTTTAATCATGGACAGAGTGAATTTCTTTATCTTAATTGAATGAAATGGGAAGATAATCTAGATGATGTTGATAAATAGTGCTACAGCAGCTGATAATGTGAGGCAGTCAGTGTGGAGAAAATGCTGTTGAGGTATTACATTTTGAAATAGATGTTTAATCTATTAAAACATAATATTCTTTCCTACTTTGCACAGGATATAGCACTAATGGACGATCACCAGAGGGAAGAGTTCATCGGTAAAATTGGAATCTCATCAGAAGAAAATGATGACAATTCTGATGAAAGTGCAGATTCTGAGCCTCACAAGTATAGCTGCAAAAGGTGCCAGGTAGCTTTAAATACTTTCAAATTAATTTAATGGGAGGGAAGGAGTGGAGGTGTCTATCAATTATTTATAACTTTAAGTAATGTTGAAAATTAGGAAAGAGCAGGCCAGCTCACAGGTCTGCTCTCCTCTGCAGTGCTCTAATCTACAAAGTGATGTCATTCCACAAGACATGGTGGTGTTCTGCAAGGTGAATGCCAGACACTTAAAAAGATAAATGCATATGTTTCCCTATATGCAAGGCAGCAAGCAAGCAAAACTGGAGGAAGAAACAGTAAATTTCTGTTCATTCAATTCTTAGACTATGTTTTAATTGTGTGCAAATTAAAAAAATATTTATGTTCAAGTGGTATTTCTGAATGATACCATTCACAATTTGACTCATTTCAAAAAGATCAAATGCTGTCTAGTGGGTATCCACTTTGGGGGATTAACACTCCTGTTAGCGTCCAACATGAACACTTATTCTTGGCCTACTGTGTTACTACCAGGATGGTACTGGAATATACTTTGCTTACTTGTCAGCAAGCAGAGGAAGACTCTGTCAGCCTTTAACTGCATGGCTTTTGCCATTTTCTAAAGAAGTAATGAGGAAGAATGGGATCTTTGGGTTCTATATATTCATGGGGAGCACACTGCGCAGGAGTGAGAGGGTTGCAAAAAATGACCTGTGGGAACAGCAGAACTGGCCAAACTGGCAGTGGAGCAGGAGAATCTTGGGAGTTAAATCACTGGCTTGTCCTCTGGAAATCAGAATTTATATCACAGATACACACAGTGTAGTGAAAGCATTTAGCCTACCTTCTCATGTAAAAGACTTGGAGATATAAGTACTTCAGGTTTCTGTTCTTATCTGCAAAACTGATTTTAAGCTTATATCAGTAAGCATAAGATGTGATCTCACCAGTTAATCATATACTTGCTAATTTTAATGTCTGGCACTTAATGGGTACATAAACTGTATAAAATATATGCTTCTAAATGAGGGAAATGTTGCTGTTTCAAACTAAAAGGGTGTTTCTGGAAGCTGGTCTCTTTTAGTGCTTCTGCAGGTGTTTGTGAAGTTTGTGAACTGTAAGGTGATGGAAGATGAGTGTAAGCTATGGTGAGATAGGGAGGCTCTTTTTGGCTGAAAACTGATGCACTCCTAAAGGAGAACTACATACAAATGAGTATTAGTGAAATACGTGTTCCAAGATTCTGGGAGTCTCTCACTTAGTTTCCTTTTCCCAAAGGACATCTTCACCAAGCTGTACAGTGCTGTCAGCCATGCCCTGAATAGGAGCAAAATCAGAGCAAATGAACACATTGTCGTGGCACTTTGCCCTGATACATAGGAGCATATAAGAATATGCAATGCTACTTAGCCCTGGTGGAGCTCCTGTCTGTTGTAGCTGTAGTGCTTCCAAGAGCTGAGCTGGAATCTCTGCCCTACAAATGCCAAGAAATACAAACTCCCTGAAGCTAGCGCTGATGCTTTCTCTGCAGAATAGAATACTATGCCTTAGAGCTCAAAAAACATTTATCTCTGTCTGTGGCATCGTTGCTTAAACAGCTAGTGATGATTATACGTGGCTCTTTTTAAGTCTGTTCCTTGCTGCACAAATAATTGGAGGTCTTCTACTAATGTAGTACAAGAAGCACTTCTCTGTCCAAAAATAAGTGAACTGTTTTCATTATGCTCTTCTGCCCTCTGTCAGCAAGGACCCAGAGATACCATACTGATCTGGTTTTCTGAGTGAGTTAATTGATGTCGTGTAGCAGAGTGCTTGTAATGGCCAAACAGGTTCAGTCCTGAATCTAGCTTTCAAAGATATTTCATCCAGTGATAAGCAGAATATTTCTGACTGCTGCTTCTGACTGCAGATCCCAATAATGTGTTACTAAACCACAGCTGTTTGCAAGGAACTTCTTCCCCTTTCATTCACTATTGGTTCATTTCACAGTTAACTTTCGGCCGAGGAAAGGAGTACTTGAAGCATATAATGGACGTGCACAAGGAGAAAGGCTATGGCTGTAGCATTTGTAATCGACGCTTTGCCTTGAAGGCCACTTACCATGCACACATGGTCATTCACCGGGAGAACCTACCTGATCCTAATGTGCAGAAGTAAGATGACTTGTTGGGCTGCTAAGAGGAGCTGTCTTTCTGTAGTCACGGTGGCTCTCTCATCCGATGCTATAGGAGAACTGGGCTATAATGAAATATGTAACATTAGTAATTCACTTAGTGTTATTAATCAACAGCCTCCCAGTTCGGTCTTTGTAAAGTATAAATCTGCGCTTTTTAATAAGAATTAAAAAACAAGAACACAATTATGATTTGAGGACATTGCAATACCAAAGTGCTCCAAGCTTACATTTACAGTTGAAGGAACTTGTCTAGTAATTACCAAATAAAGTTACTGACAGAAATGTCTAAAAATCATCTCTGTCTCAGGGGAGGTGTGACACTTTTGGTCTTTTTGGTTTCAGATACATCCATCCATGTGAAATCTGTGGAAGGATTTTTAACAGTATAGGGAATCTGGAACGACATAAGCTTATACATACAGGTAAAAATGCTGTGTTTCTTTATAATTATCAATATTCCAAAAAAATTTCTGTTGCCAGTGCCTGCCTTTTTTTTTTTTTTTTCCCCAAGAAAAAAGCTTCTGGGTTTTTATTCTAAGTTACAATAAGATAAATTATATATTTATGCTTTAAGGTAGACCAGTTTTCTAAAGCAGAAAGTGTTAATGAAGATATTTGGTCAAAGCCCACAGTGCAGAAGATCCTTAGTTAATCCCATGCAGGATTCATCTGCTAAAAAACCTAATTCTGTGTTCCGTTCTTCCTCAAATTCTTATCCATGTCGCCTTCTCACCATTACACAGGCTGAAATCTGCTATTGCAAAATCATTTTTAACAATTCATTATTATTTCATGCTATACAGTATTGCCCTACTTCAGGCTTTGTCTTTTTTCAGATCATGCACACACACAAAAAAGCAGCTTTTCTTTCTCTAACTCTCCTAGTGCAGTTTGGACTACAGTATGCATGAAAGATGTGGCTGACGACACAGATGGACTGTCGCCCTCTAATTCACCAATCTAGTCAGTTTTGAGGGGATGCACATTTTTCATTAACATTTTTTTTTGTTTGTTTATGTTGTCTTTTACATTTATTTTTAAGGTGTAAAAAGTCATGCTTGTGAGCAATGTGGCAAATCATTTGCTAGGAAAGACATGTTAAAAGAACACATGCGGGTCCATGATAATATCCGAGAATACTTGTGTGCAGAATGTGGCAAAGGTATGTCTAAAGCCTTGTTTTCCATTAACTGTGGTACTGAATAGCAGATGAATATCTGAATTCAAATTCTACTCTTAGAATATTGGCAAGGTCCTCCGAATGTAAATTTCTTTACTTGCGAGTGTTAGAAACTATTAATCAGGAGCTTGACAGATATGTAAAACACTTCTAAATTTATGAACTGCTTCCATGACCTGTAAGATGCATCTAATGTTAATAAAATTTGCCTCTGTTCTGTTAGATTGAGAAGTGCTTCTCTGACTGAATTCTGCTGCGTTCGCAGCACTAAAGTGAACAAAAATCTTGGTTGTTTGTATTTTTTTTCACTGTAAGTTGTTTTCAGACATAAACTTAGAGTGATTTCTCTAAGAGCCTCAACTGTCAAAAGTTGTTTCTACTTTTTGAGTTATTTGTTACAATCTGAGCAATTACTGAACTGGCATTTTAGTAAAGGCATTAAATGTGATATCTCTGATAATGTTTTTTCTTCTGTTTTCCTTGCTGTTCTGCTTCTTCCTCGGTGATTCTTCGGATGTTTTCCAGAGCTTTTGCCTGGGTCTAGAAGAGTAGTGATAAATTGCTATTGGCTAACAATGAATTTAGTTTGAGTTCTCCTATGAAGGTGGGAGAAATGGAGAAAATACCACTTCATACCACGCTTTTAGCTGTGTCTGTTTGTCTCATAGGAATGAAGACAAAACATGCACTTCGTCACCACATGAAACTTCATAAAGGGATAAAAGAATATGAATGCAAGGAATGTCACCGAAAGTTTGCACAGAAAGTCAACATGCTGAAGCATTACAAAAGACACACGGGTGAGGTCTCTAAAGATGTGCAAAATCAACTAAATGCTTCTTGGGAGAACTCGTATCTAGAAGAGTGAGAGTGTCAGAATAGAAATACACATATTATGCTTTTTGAAAAGTGGGATTTTGACCTCTTGTCAGCCAGAACCACTATTGTATTATGCAGCTAAGATGCACCTGTTGGTTGGTTTCATGTTTTCCTTTTTTAATGGAGGTTGGTTTGGTCTCGGGTAGGCCCAGAGTGTTGCTTCTGTTTTAAATTAGTCTTTAGTTTCTTATTTCCCATTTCTTATTGTTATTTTCTGACTGATAAGAGTGGCACGGTTTAGCTAAAAAATAGCTGGTGATGCTGAGCTTTCCCCACTTGTTTGGCTGTGTGATGGGGTTTTTGGTAATACGAGATTTAAAATTATCCCAGATGCCTTAAACTATTACTGCGCTTATGCTAAATGTACTCTTCATGCAGGAATCAAAGATTTCATGTGTGAGCTCTGTGGGAAGACTTTTAGTGAGAGAAATACAATGGAAACTCATAAGTTGATTCATACAGGTAAAATCTCCAAGAAATAATAGCCAAGTACTATAGCTTAATTTTTTCTGTAGTTCTTCTTCTTGAGCTACTGACAATATGATACTCACCTTTCGGGGCTGTTGCTAACAGATTTTCCTTCCATCTGCCACCAGTAGGAAAACAGTGGACGTGTTCAGTCTGTGATAAGAAGTATGTCACTGATTACATGCTCCAGAAACACATACAGCTCACTCACGATAAGGTGGAAGCCCAGAGCTGTCAGCTGTGTGGGACAAAGGTTTCTACCAGAGCATCCATGAGTCGACATATGAGGCGTAAGCATCCAGAGGTGAGTTAGTTTGGCAAGTAGCTCATGGCGTGCTTTGGTATTTTGACTTTTGTTTTGTTTTGGAAACTTAATGGCCTTCGGTGATATAGAAGGAGTTCCACCCCAACTCTTTTATTATCCCTGTTCTTTTGAGGCAAATTTTGGTTAAGGGTAAATTAACCTTAGCTTGGGCACTATCCCTTAAGCTTGCACTTAACTGAATGAGCTCTTATGTTATATTTCAGTAGTAAACACACCTGATTGTCACTCCTTAAAAATGATTTTCTTCTGATTGCTTAAATCTTTTTTTTTTTTTTTTTTTTGCCTTTGCTTACATGTATGATTTTTTCATATTTTGTATTCATCTGTTAGTGAGCATAGTTCACTTTTTTTCTTCACTATGTTCTCTGTATTCAGGAGTGATCTGAAAGAATAGAGGTGACAGCAGCATCCGATGATGATACAAAATAATAAATAATAAAGATAAATGCTAACTGTGGAGAATTTGGATTAGAGGGTTGTTTTGTCTGACTCTAGTGGAGCTAGTGGATTTCTGAATAGATAATGTACGTGCTTTTTTTCTCAGCAGTTTCTTCTTTAGGTTGTTTAAGGCTTGTTCTTTCCATTTGAGCCTTTATTTTACAACCAAATTATCGTCAGTGTTGCTTTGCCTTAAATTATGCCTACTTTTCATCACAGTGACAGGGAAAGATGCCAGCAAAAAGCTTTTGTTTATTGATTTTTGGACTAAAAATGCAGCTAGCTATCTGCAATTTAGAGGCAATTTGTTCCTGTCTTTTGATAAGCTGAGCTGCAGAGATTCTGCTGGGGACAATAGAGTAGGACACAGCTAATGTGTTTATTATCAATAGCAATAAAATAAGTTTTATAAAGTAATTTTTAGCCAATTACATTTTACAAAACATTATATTTCTTTTCTACAGAATTCTTCACTTCTCGGTAGGTTGTGGGCTGTCTGGAATACGAGAAAAAACACATTCTTCTAATGCTGTCTTTAAACTTTGCTTTTCAGTGAAAAGGAAAAGATTTTTGTGCCACAAGATAAAGGCTATTTAAAACAAAACAAGCTGTGGTTATATTAAATTAAACCATTACATTAAATGGTTTGTATGACATGTTGGATGCAGCGTTTTTGCTCTGTGATTAGGTAAGGTAATACTGTATTGTTTGGCTGCAGTTTGTTCACCAGGCTGATGCCTCTTTGTCCACAGATTCTTTCAGTGAAGATTGATGATTTAGAGCAGCTGCCAGAGACTACAACCATTGATGCCTCTTCAATTGGGATTGTTCAGGTACATTTACCGTTGCCAAATTCCAGTGGCAACAAGATTTTCAGACTTACTGGGGATGTTGTTTTTTTGGTATGTATCATAGCCAAGTGTGGGCTGATAGGCAAGGAATATGTTTTTTTAGAAATCAGTCCCAGGTTAAGGTGTGGTATGCTGTCTTCTAAGCAGTACAAGCAGATTCAAGATCAGTCTGTTTTGTTATATAACACGTGCTTATAAAATGGAGGTAATTATAGGGTGAGTTCTCATTCCCTGCAATCAAGTTTTGGCTGAAGTTTGATTTTTTTACTTGAAAATCAACAGTAAACCAACTACAGGTAATAGCAGTCTTACATGGAACTTCATCAAGTCCTTTTGCTTAGTGTTTCATTTGGAAATTTGTTGCTTCAGCCGGAATTAGCCTTGGAACAGGGAGAATTACCAGAAGGAAAACAGCATATGAAAGCTCCTAAGCGTGGCCAGAAACGAAAGCAGAAGTCAGGTGAGGAGGAGGAAACTCAAGTTCCTGAGGACCCTGCTTTCAGTGAATACACAGAGAAGGAAGCTGAATTTACAGGAAATGTTGGAGATGAGACTAATTCAGCTGTACAGAGCATTCAGCAGGTAAGCTCCAGTAGAAGGGTGGGCAGCTGGCACTGCCTAGGGGGATAACACTTCTGGTTTCCTTGTGGCAAACACAAAAACATTATCAAATATTTAGGGCTAGTTTGATAAACTTCAGTAAGATTAAAATAAATAGGGGAAAAAAAAGGTGTTTGTCCATGCAACTCCTCACATCTGTTTCTGTGTTTTTTTTATGTTATCATCTCCTTGTTTGCCAAATAACTGGCTGATGCTGTGACTACAAGTGTCAAGACAGTCAATTTAACTGATGGTTTTGAATGTTACATATGCTCCCCTCTCGTTATCTTCTTTCTTCTACAACTTCTTTCTTCTATAACTTCTTGGAAGTTATGTTCAAGTGCTGTATACTCCCCTCTCACAGAATCACAGAAACACCAAGGTTGGAAAAGACCTACAAGATCACCCAGTCCAACCATCCACCCATCACCAACATTTCTCACTAAACCGTGTCCCTCAACACAAAATCCAAACGTTCCTTGAACACCTCCAGGGTCGGTGACTCCACCACCCCCCTGGGCAGCCCATTCCAGTGCCTGACCACTCTTTCAGAGAAGTATTATTTTCTAACGTCCAGCCTTAATCTCCCCTGGCGCAGCTTGAAGCCATTCCCTCTAGTCCTATCACCAGTTATGCGAGAGAAGAGGTAACACCAGCTCACTACAACCTCCCTTCAGGTAGCTGTAGAGAGCAAGGTCTCCCCTGAGCCTCCTCTTCTCCAGACTGAACAGTCCCAGCTCCTTCAGCTGCTCCTTATTAAGCCTGTGCCCCAGACCCTGCACCAGCTTTGTTTGCCCTCTATTTGTATGAGTTCTTTTAGTGGCAGTTTTAGTGGCAGCAACATGTGAGCCCATCAGCACTCAGCTGGTCTTTCTCAGTGCTAGATACTTGACAGTCAGCTGTGCAATATAAGGTTTCTGTTTTTCCTCAGGTGGTGGTGACCCTTGGTGACCCAAATGTCACAGCGCCGTCCAGTTCTGTTGGACTGACAAATATCACTGTTACCCCCATTACAACGGCAGCTGGAACGCAATTCACAAACCTCCAACCAGTGGCTGTGGGCCACCTGACTGCTCCGGAGCGCCAGTTGCAGCTGGACAACTCCATTCTCACTGTGACGTTTGACACAGTCAGCGGTTCTGCCATGCTGCACAACCGCCAGAATGACATTCAGATCCAGCCGCAGCCAGAGGCAGCCAATCCTCATTCTGTGGCCCATTTTATAAATCTAACCACCTTGGTGAACTCCATTGCTCCTCTAGGAAACCAGATAACAGAACAGCATCCTCTGACGTGGAGGTCGGTGCCTCAAACTGATGTCTTGCAGCCCGCGGCACAGCCAGCGCAGCAGCAGTCAGGACAGCAACAGGTTCAAGCAGAGCAGCAGCAACAGATGTATAGCTACTAATTTATACTTTGAAAATTTGAAGTGGACAGTAGAGACAAAAACACAGGATGTTTGGAAAATTTCTGATAGGATTATTTGCTGGATACCAAACAGAGATGGGAAAGTGTTTATACAATGAAACGTAAGCTAAAGTTGGCATCGCACCCTACAACACCTGTGAGAATCTGTGAGGTTCTCACATCATCTCTAAATCTTGCAATGTTTTTAAAAAGAAAAAAAATCAAAATCAAAACCAAAACCATCACTAATTTAGTACCCCTGCTAAATTGTACTGTGTATTTTGCACTGTGAATTTGGGGCAGTAAGAGTGAGATTTGACAGGAAGCGTCATAATGCATCTTAACCAAAGCAGGGAAATAATATGGCACTGGAAATTCAGAAAGCCTTTTAGCCATAACATGACACTTCCTTCCAGGCTGTAAACTTTATACGAAGACCTCATTGACAGTGAGCTGGAATACACTTGTGGTCAGCTGGTAGAGAATGAAATGTACACAGCAATGGGAGGAACAATAATTGTTTTCTTTCTCCTTTTGGTCCTTCTAACAACATTGGTATAATAGGTGGAGGCTGGGACTTGAGGGTGGGGCTGAGTGTGGCGTGGAAAAAAATAGACCAATTTCACAAGTATTTCCATTTTAGTGATGGGAAAAGCCCTGTACCCGTAACACTGTTAGTGCTACTTGAACCACATAGCTGGTCTAATACTAAAGCAACGTCTATGGTCTTCTAGTCAAGTCGGAATCAAACCAGTGATGAACTGAAACAAGAATGTGATACAGTTTTATGTAATTTTAAAAAACTGCTCTTTCAAACTTGCTTTTAGCTAATAGATCCGAAGAGTAATTGGTCCTCTTTGATCAAGTTCAGGATGTGAATTTTTTTTCAATTAGTCTTCTTTCATCGTGTAATAAACATTTGAGAAAGTATTCTTTTTTATATATATACATATATATATATATATGCCTTTGTACTTTATTGTGCATTTCTGGTGAATATTTGTGTGAAGGACACTTATCAATATAAGTCATTAATTTTTTCATCCCTGTATTGCCCTGTCTCACAGAAATAATGCATGAATTCTAGTCCATTCTATTTCCAACTTTCAGAGCCACTCACAGTTGTGTGAAATGCAAGACAAAAGAAAGCCTGAAGCATGCTTGGCCACGTGGAGGCAGCATGCCCTAGTGTAGAAGGGGCAAGGTTTGCCTGAATATTGGAGCTGTAAACTAGGGGGTTGGGCAGTCAGTGGGCGACAAACCCGCCCACAGCAGAGGGTTGGAACTGGATGGGCTTTAAAGGTCCCTTCCGACCCGAGCCATTCTGTGGTTGTGATTCTATGAAATACATCAATGCTGATACAACACTTTGATTCCATTCTCCACATACTGATGTGCAGTCTGGACAGTTGCATGTCAAAAAGACGGTATCTCTCCCACAAATAAGAATGGCTGCTATGAAAAAGAAATTTAACTAAAAACGAATAACAAAAAATAAATAAAAATAAACAGGTGCTGTCTGGAATCCTGACAGCCAAAATTGTCCTACCAGCTGCAGCCGAAGAACAAGTCCTTTCAGGGCTGCAAATTGAGCCAACCTCAGAACCTTAAGATTTTTGCCGGGTATAAAGCATCTGCTGTGTTTAACAGTGAAGATAGATTGATGGTTGTAAAAATCCTGTCTGTGCCTATCATATTTATGAAAATGTTGTATGTATTAGCAAAAATATGAATAGGAATGAGTTTGTCTTTGAAAGTCTGTATTAACATGGACTACCTGACCCCTAAATGATGCCTTAGAATCTCTGCAACAAATCCTTCCAAAGTATAAATGACTGGAAATTAAAGTTAACCTTCCATGGCTTTCCTTGTGCCATATCAACATCTAGAGGCAACGCTATGCGAGGCTCTGCGTAAAGCCTAATTGCAATAGAATGTGTTGCAATTAGGAAAGGATGTAACAAAGGAGTTCCTGGTGACAGATTTTGTGTCAGAGGAGCAGAGCTACTTTGCTGCAAATATCAACAAGTCTATAAATGTCTCTATGAGAGAGATCTAAATTTGATGGGACAGGAATGCGTATCAGAAAGAGAAAACATCTTTTACCAGTGCAGAAACAAAAGAATTTTCCATTCCTTATTTGTCTTCCCCGGATCCTTTTCAAACAACACTCAATGATCATGTTGGCTTTTTTTTGGCCTCGCAAGAACTAGAGCTCGATGCTCCTGTATCATCCGGATTATTCCACCACTGGCTCAGGCCAGGTAACCTCCTCAGCTGTCTTCTCCACAAGCGCAAAACCTATTGGTCATGAGGAAGCTGTCTTTCATTTATAAAATGTGTTGCTTATGTACTTTCAACTTTCTTCCTTTTGCTGAATTTGGTGCCTAATTGGGAAAAGTACATTATAATTTGGCAGGGTGAATGAAAAAAAAAGAGAAATGTAGAGGTCCTGGATCAAGTTATTGTGGTAAATAAAAGATGGCTATGATCTAAAAAAAAAATATATATATATATATATATACAAACATGGAAGGTTACAGTACTCCATCTATATGTTTCTGGAAGATTGGTTTTTTGTCCATAGGCGATAATGCTTTTAAGTGGGATTTTTTTGCCTCAGCTGCAGAGTGAGTACAACTATTCTATGTGAATAGCACTGACAGTAGTATTCAGGAAGCACTGAATCAGTCTGAGCCATTTTAACATGTAATTGCCTGACTATTTGAAATGAATGGTGAGTGCAGGTCATCACTCATTACAGATGCCTCTCTGACTTCACAAGACTCCTTTTCCCAATGTGTGATCCTCGGGTTTTCTGTAGTCTTATACTGACTGTGTCATCCCTCCTGCTCTCCCACAAAATTTGACTCAGGCAAAGCAAAATGTTGCACTTCTGATAGTGAATTAACCAATTATAAAAGGAACAATCTGATTGCACAATAAATGCTTGCATGTTGGTGGTCACGTGGAAAAGAAATTTCTCCAGTTTTCTGCTATCCTCCAAATCTTAAATGATATTCTGCTAAAATATGGAGGAAAAAAATGAAGCTCACCTCAAGCAGGCCAGGCAATAGAAAGTTTTCAAAAAGCTGAACCTTCCAGAACACTCCTTTTAGAAATAACTTTGACTTTCCCTGCAACCTTTGCTGTGTTATCTTACCATCTCTCAGTGTGACTTCTCTATTACTACTATTATTAACATCCCTATGAGAACAAAACTGTATCTTGAGTGTGCTGCCATAGGAAAAGTTTCAAAAGAAAGCATATTTTTGGAGAAGTTGGAAGTTAATTCCTTTTCAGGCGGCACTTCCTTGGAGAACTAGCGAGTGCCAGCTGCTCTCCCAACTAAGCCTTTTGCAAATGAATACCAAAGTTCTACTGATGCTGTTACAACCTGCACAACAAATAAAAATACGTAAGGGATTTGCAATCTAAATTTCATTTGCCAATTTGTTACTAGGCTTTTCATCTATAGGTTATGAAGGTTACTTTATTCAGCCATGTGTTGGAGATTTTGCATAATGACTGTTCAGTACCAAACTGGAATTATTTTGAGCCAAAGGAGTGATGTGTAGTGCTGTGTACTGTCTTTGTTTATTGGTAAGACTATTATTTAATTGAATGCTGTCTGTGGCACACAGGCTCTGAAGTAAAGGAGCAACAAGGTGCAGAACCCTTCTCTACTAGCGTTTTTATTCTTTTCTGGTCCTCAATTAACATATCAGACTTTTTTCCTTGAATCACACGGACGTGCTTCAAAAGCAGTAAGATTAGTAGTTACCTCATAGAACTTTGTACCCAAAGTATCCCAAAATATACAGGGAAATGGGGTAGCATCCTGAAATATTTATTCTATAGTTTCTTACTATACTAAATAAAAAACAGGAGATTTGCATCTTTCTCAGCAGCGTTCTGTGATGAAGTTTGTCAGGAAAAGCTACTGTATTAAGTGCCATTACACTCCCTATAAACTTTTGTTTTGAGATGTGTCACTGGAAAAATATTTTTTTCAGAACAGTAGCAGTCAGTTTCTGCATAGACTGCTAAGTTTCTGCACCTTTTCACTGTTTCAGAAATCCTCTGAAATTAAGAACTGGAAAACGGATGAATTTATTTCTAGAACTGATTTTCTTATCAATTTGTCAGAATGATTTACTAGTGCTCTGCACACAAGAAGATGCCTGAATTTCCCACCCCGAAAATTAGGACTGGAAAAAATACTATTCATCCAAATTATAGTCACGTAAAAACTGTGTAGGCATTACCTGAAAATAGATAAGGAAAATAGCTTTATTGGTATTGATTTGTGAATTCTTTTTCAGGAATGATACTTCCTTGGCGTTGTAAAGTAATACTGTCACTCCTCGTAATTACTCCTGGCCTTTTATGTGTTATCAGTATAGGTATGCCTCTTGGATAATCCTTAACCTTTTGTATGTTTGGCATATCTGTTCGTGGTGGTTGTGAGTGCATTGGCCTAATATGGTACAAAGGCAGAAGAAAACATACTGGAGGAGGATACTGCTGATCTGCACTAAGTAGTAGTATCTGCTCTAAGTAGTTTGGGGCAAAGACTGTACAGCCAAGTGACTTGTGCCTGTGAGATCAGTTGCCAAGACGTCTTCATGTAAGGGGTTTTGCCACGTAGCGAATCCAAAGTTGGCAACAGCAACAACAAAAGGCATTTCCATAGCATTTGTCATCAGCTCAGAGCGATTTTCTTCAGTGCTACTATCATATCCCCAATGTAAATGGCAAGAAGGTGTTAAGTAAGCAACAGTTACTTCATCAAGCAGTGTAACCATTGTTGGGAAATACCTTTTTTGCTCTGAAATGCTCTGAGAAAGCTGTTCTGGATTTCTTTTCCCTCCTAGGTCCTGAAGAGCTATTCTGATTCCACTGCTGCCAGCTAAAAAAGGCAGACTTCAGTCTCAGCTGGAATAAACATACAGAGATCCTGCAGTACAGCCTAACAATGGCTGATGCTTTGGATCACTTTCCTAGAGTTCAAGCTCACTATTCTAAATTTACCTTCCTAAAGCCAAGCTGAAAGGGGCAGAAAGGCAATCTTTTGAGAGTGGTAGGAAGGTGAGATTCCTCCAAGAGACTTCAGCCTTACTTCTCAAAACTGTAGTGTAATGCTGTTGCCTTTGTCTTATCCATGAGCTGTTTTGACCAATTAACGTCTGGCTGGTTACAGTGACCCAAGAACAGCTGATGTCAAAAGCAATTAAAATTACTGAGTTTAGGCATTTATTCCATCTAAAGCAGAGTTTTTCAATTCTAATGTCCTTTTGCCATCAGTTGAGCCCTTTATTTTTCTGTTTACAATTAGATTTTGATTCTAGAAAGCTTTGAAGGTGTTCGGTAATTGTAGCAAAAATTAAATGGCTATATAAACATATATTTTTTAAAAAAAGTAATATTGGCAGAATGAGAGGTTAAAATTGGCAGACCCAGTGGTACTAATTTTCTGAAATTTTCCATCCTTCTCCTACCCATGTGAATCTAAGGTTCTTGCTGTGACACTGAAACAAGGAGATAGCACATACTGTGGCTGATTTGCCAGAACGACCTGCATAAGGTCTGACGAGCTGGGTGTTGCTAATGAAGCCAGACACCAGCTGAGTTCACCTGCCTTCCTCTCAAGCCCTGCACTCATTTTAGTATCTTGTCCCCACATAGCTGGCAGTTTCCACTGAACTCAAAGGGGAGTGGGCATCTCTGCGCCTTGTACCCACAAATTTCACTGGAAAGAAAGATGAGAGTGGGACATGAGGGGCAATAAAATACAGTGGATGTATAATTAGATAAAGGCAGAGAAAACACAGACTTAGCGTGCTGCACAAAACTGCATAGTAAGTTCTGGTAGATGCAGTCCTGTTAACTAAATATTAGCGATTGCTGTGTTCAGATGATTTTCTCTAGAAGAACCTACAAGTGTAGAGGGGAAAGCATTCATGTGTGCTTAGTTTACCATAAATTAAATGCAATGGTAAAACGCAGCGTGTTATACACAGGAACATGCAGAAACCAAAACGCAAGATGCACAAATGATAAGAGAATGGAGCAGGTCCACATTTCATCACTTCTGGAAAGAGCTATAGCACACTTGTGGGCAGAATTTTCTCAAGACTGAATGTCCTTTCTCACGCACAGAAAAGACCTGCTCTGTCATGTATGTGCTACAACATAAGTTTGACACGAGGGGGATTACAGCAGAATAAAGAGGGCTGCTTTGCAATCAAAGAACAAAACAACAACAAAATCAAATGAGCAGATTAAAGGAAAGAGTGGGGAAATTCTTATCCCAGCTCCTTGCCAAGTAGAGGGAGATTAAAGTAAATAAATAAGGTAACAGCGTGTATGAGCTCTTCTTCCCTTCTTTCCATACCCATGCCTGTGTTGAGACCCGAATGCGAGCTTTCAAGGAATGACTGTTTTTGCCTGCTTGCTGTACAAATGGCATCTGTACCCAAGGGTCCTGGTGACCATGCAGAATTCCTCAGTATGTTTTCAAAATGCATATGGGTAAAGTTGGAGCTATGTGCAAAGGGTGGGGCTCTCTGGGGGCTGTCTTAGAAAATGAAAACACGTCCATTGCTGTGAAGTCTTCACTGATGCGAACAGAAGGCTTTTGCTGAAGAAGCAGTGGAACCCGTGGACAAAGCACCATTTATAAAGACGGAAAAGAGAAAAGCTCAGATTGCATAATCAGAGAGAAAAATGAGAAACTTTGTCCTGGAGGCAAGCGCATCTATTTCTCATTCACTCTCCTCCCTCTTCCACTACTTTTCCCATGAAACGCATGCAAATCCCAACAGGCAGTAAGTTTTCCTCCAGGCATGATATACCTGTGTGGTTGTTCAGGTAAGGAGTGGGTTGAAGAGAAATAGATACGAGGCGTTCCTGGCTTTAGCCTCGGAAAAAAAGTGGCGTTGCAGGATAATTCAGTCAACCCTGAGCGCAGTTCTAGCTAAGAGATAGCTGCTCTAGTTATACGCTATACACATCGCCTTCTTAATTAACTTCGCCTTCCCTCAGAGAAGCGCATCAGCTCTGAGGGGACGCGACCCTGCCGCCAAAATGGGGGCGGCTGCTGCGCAGGCGCACTCGCTGTCACGCGTGTTCGTACCGACGTGGCGCTGCCGGGCGGTGGGGCTGTCGGTCAGGCGGGGTGGGGCGGCTGAGGGAAGCTGAGGGATGTCGGGTGAGTCTTGCCACAGGTGTGCCCTTGTGTCAGGTTCAAGGGACTGGAATTGTACTCGCGGTAATATTTTTGTCATATTCCATGTGGGAAGGCGTTCTGCAGCACTGCTGGGGAACTAAATTGCAGTCGCAGTTGTTTGAGATGGTGATTGTGGGGCTGTTACTGGATGGTCGTAATGAAAATGGGACAGGTTGTGGCTTCTGGTAAAGTGTCTGCCAGCTGCTACCATATGTTCTTAAAGTACTCAGTAACTAAAAATTAAAAAAAAAAAAAAAAAAAAAAGTATAACTTAGGAGGCCATAACCTTAACTGTAGTTTTTACAAGGGAAATTTACAACAACTAAAATTTAAGTTCTTCTAAAAATATTAGGTGAGGGTTCCTGGAAGCAAATTGAAGAACTGCGAGTTGATACTGCCACGTGAATGGGAAGAATGCTCCCATGTAGGAAAATGCACAGAGAACTTTTGTGATCACTTTACTAAATATTTGGAAGAGTCTCTGTAGCCCCTCCTGGAAGCAGCAGGTCACTCGTGTCCCATCTGTCACACAGATTATGTTGCAGTTTTGAAGATTACTTCCAAACCTTGCTGATATCTATAACCTCACTGCAGACCTTTGTAGCCTTGCTGGTTCCCATCTGCATGAAGCACTCAGATGAGGGTTTCCACTTGCTCTTTACTTTAAATCTGATTATCTTAATCACAGAATAGTTAGGGTTGGAAGGGACCTCACAGCCCTCCCACCCCAACCCCTGCCATGAGCAGGGCTGCCCCCCTCAGCTCAGCTGCCCAGGGCCCCATCCAACCTGGCCTTGAGCGCCTCCAGGGATGGGGCACCACAGCTTCTCTGGGCAGCTGTGCCAGCGCCTCACCGCCCTCTGGGAAAGAATTCCCTCCTGAGATTTAACCTAAATCTCTCTTGTAGTTTTAAACTGTTCATCCTAGACCTCGCCTTAGATTTTTCTTGATAAATGTTCATAAAATGGAAAGAGACTGGAAAAGTGATGTCATGAGAACTGAGGATTTTTCCATTGTTAGGTTCTCAGCAGATGCAATTGTCTAAAATGGGTTTTGGAAATTTGTTTTTGACTGGCACAGCGCTTCCCCTTTAGGTGACTGAGCTGGTGCTTAAGAATTTCAAGTTGGAAGTAGCGTGTGTACAAATCATTATAGAGAAATGGAAACTTGATTGGTTGTGTGGCGTTTGCCTTATTTGGTTGCAGACACAAGTGCTGTTTTATGACTGGGGTTGTATTCTACATCTATCAAATGGTACTAAGTATACTTAAAAGGGAAACAACAACAAAAAAAATCTAATTCTGCAGAAAATTATAGCCGGTCCCTGTGGATGTAATAGCAATAATATACCAGGCTTTTAAATGCAACTATTTTGGCTCTTGTGTATCCTGCTCTTTATTCTTAACGCTATAATCAAGTGTAATTACAGGTGTAGACATTTTAAT